GTAGGTGGCAGTAGGCTGTATAATCAGGCTGTAGGTGGCAGAAGGCTGTATAATCAGGCTGTGGATTGAATAATCAGGCTGTAGGTTGCTCTTGGATGTATAATCAGGCTGTATGCTGAATAATCAGGCTGTAGGTGGCTGTAGGCTGTATTATGAGGCTGTCGGTGGCTGTAGGCTGTATTATGAGGCTGTAAGTTGCTGTAGGCTGTAGAATCAAGAAATAGACTGTATAATCAGGCTGTAGACTGTATAATCAGGCTGTGGGTGGCAGTAGGCTGAATAATCAGGCTGTAGGTTACTGTAGGCATTGTAATTAGGCAGTAGACTGTATAATCTGGCTGAAGGCTGCTGTAGACTGTATAATCAGGCTGTAGGTGGCTGTAGGTCTGCATAATCAGGCTGTAGGTTTCAGTAGACTGTATAATCAGGCTGTAGGTGGCTGTAGACTATTTAATCAGGCTGTAGACTGTATAGACTGTATAATCAAGTTGTAGACTGTAAAGACTATAGGCTGCTGTAGGCTGTATAATCAGGCTGTAGGTGGATGTAGGCAGTATAATCAGGCTGTAGGTGTCTGTAGGCTGTATAATCAGGTTGTAGGTGGCAGAAGGCTGTATAATCAAGCTGTAGGCTGCTGTAGGCTGTATAATTAGGCTGTAGGCTGAATAATCAGGCTGTAGGCTGTATAATCAGGCTGTAGACTATACAATCAGGCTGAAGGTGGCTGTAGGCTGTATAATCAGGATGCAGATGGCTGTAGGAAGTATATTCAGGCTGAAGGTGGATGTAAGCTGAATAATCAGGCTGTAGGCTGGTGAAGGCTGTATAATAAGCTGAAGGCTGTATAATCAGGCTGTAGGCTGAATAACCAGGCTGTAGGCTGTATAATTAAGCTGAAGGTGGCTGTTGGCTGTATAATCAGGACGAAGATGGCTGTAGGCTGAATATTCAGGCTGTAGGTTGCTGTAGACTCAATAATCAGGCTGTAGGCAGTATAATAAGGCTGTAGACTGTATAATCAGGCTGTAGGCTGTACAATGAGGTTGTACGCTGCAATAGGCTGTATAATCAGCCTGTATAATCAGGCTGTAGGATGCGTTAGGTTGTATAATCAGGCTGTAGCCCGCTGTAGGCAGTGTAATCAAGCTGTAGGATGCTGTAGGCTGTATAATCAGGCTGCAGGCTGTATAATCAGGCTGTAGACTGTATAATCAGGCTGCAGGCTGTATAATCAGGCTGTAGACTGTATAATCAGGCTGCAGGATGTATAATCAGGCTGTAAACTGTATACTCAGGGTGTAGATTGCTGTAGGCAGCATAATCAGGCTGAATAATCAGGCTGTAGGCTGCAGTTTGCTGTATAATCCGGCTGTAGGCTGTATAATCAGACTTTAGGTGGCTGTAGGCGGAATAATCAGGCTGTGGGTGCTGTAGGCTGTATAATCAGGCTGTAGGTGCTGTAAGCTGTATAATCAGGCTTTAGGCTTCTGTATGCTGTATAATCAGGTTGTAGGTGTTGTAGGCTCTATAATCAGGCTGTAGACTGTATAATCAGGGTGTATAGGCTGCTGTAGGCTGTATAATCAGGCTGTAGGCTGCGGTAGGCTGTATAATCAGGATGTAGGCTGTATAATCAGGCTGTAGGCTTCTGTAGACTGTATAATCAAGCTCTAGGTGTTTTAGGCTGTATAATCAGGCTGTAGGCTTCTGTAGACTGTATAATCAAGCTCTAGGTGTTTTAGGCTGTATAATCAGGCTGTAGGCTGTATAATCAGGCTGTAGACTGTATATTCAGGCTGTAGGGTGCATAATAAGGCTGTAGGTAGCTGTACTCTGTACAATCAGGCTGTAGGTGGCTGTAGGCTGTATTATCAGGCTGTAGGTGGCAGAAGGCTGTATAATCAGGCTGTAGGTGACTGTAGGCTGAATAATCAGGCTGTAGACTATATAATCAGGCTATGGGTGGCTGTAGGCTGCATAATCAGGCTGTAGGTGTCTGTAGGCTGTATAATCAGGCTTAAGGTGCCTGTAGAAAGTATAATCAGGCAGTAGGCTGCTGTAGGCTGTATAATTAGGCCGAGACTGTATACTCAGGCTGTAGGCTGCTGTAGGCTGTATAATTAGGCTGAAGATTGTATAATCAGGCTGTAGGCTGTATAATCAGGCTGTAGGCTGTATAATCAGGCTGTAGGTTGCTGTATGATTTTAATCAGGCTGTTGGTGGCAGTAGGCTGTATAATCAGGCTGTAGGTGGCAGAAGGCTGTATAATCAGGCTGTAGGTGGCAGTAGGCTGTAGGTGGCAGAAGGCTGTATAATCAGGCTGTAGGTGGCTATAGGCTGTATAATCAGGCAGTAGGCTGCTGTAGGCTGTATAATTAGGCTGTAGGCTGTATAATCAGGCTGTAGGTTGCAGAAGGCTGTAGGCTGCATAATTAGGCTGTAGGCTGTATAACAAGGCTGTAGGCTGTATAATCAGGCTGTAGGCTTTATAATCAGGCTGTAGTAGGCTGTAGGCAGTATAATCAGGCAGTAGGCTGCTGTAGGCTGTATAATTAGGCTGTAGATTATTTAATCAGGCTGTATAATCAGGCTGTAGGTCGCTATAGGCTGTTAATCAGACTGTAGGTGGCTGTAGGCTTCACAATCAGGCTGTAGTAGGCTGAAGGCTGTATAATCAGGCAGTAGTCTGCTGTAGGTTGTATAATTAGGCTGTAGTCTGTATAACCAGGCTGTAGGCTGTATAATTAGGCTGTAGGCTGTATAATCAGGCTGTAGGTTGCTGTAGACTGTATAATCAGGCTGTAGGCTGTATAATCAAGCTGTAAGCTGCATAATCAGGCTGTAGGCTGTATAATCAGGCTGTAAGCTGTATAATCAGGCTATAGGTCGCTATAGGCTGTTAATCAGGCTGTAGGCTGCAGTAGGCTGTATAATTAGGCTGTTGTCTGTATAATTAGGCTGTAGACTGTATAGACTATAGGCGAATGAATGCTGTATAATCAGCCTGTAGACTCTAAATCAGGCTGGAGGTCCCTGTAGAGTGAATAATCAGGCTGTAGGCTGTATTATCAAGCTGTAGTCTGTTGTAGGCTGAATAATAAGGCTGTAGGCTGTATAATAAGGCTGTAGGCTGTTAAATTAGGCTGTAGGCTGCTATAGGCTTTATAATCAGGCTGTAGGATGCGGTAGGCTGTAGGATGCGGTAGGCTGTATAATTAGGCTGTAGGCTGCATTATCAGGCTGTAGGCTGTATAATCAGGCTTTAGGCTTCTGTAGGCTGTATAATCAGGCTGTAGGAGCTGAAGTCTGTATAAGGCTGTAGATTGCTGTAGGGTGTATAATCAGGTTGCAGACTTTCAAATTAGGCTGTAGGCTGCTGTAGATTGTATAATCAGGCTTTAGGCTGCTGTTGACTGTATAATCAGGCTGCAGGTTGCATAATTACGCTGAAGGCTGTATAATCAGGCTGCAAGCTGTATAATCAGGTTGTAGGTGGCTCTAGGCTGTATAATCAGCCTGCAGGAGGATGTAGGCTGTATAATCAGGCTGCAGGTTGCTGTAGGCTGAATAATTAGGCAGAAGGCTGTACAATCAGGCTGAAGGCTGCTGTAGACTATAATCAGGCAATAGACGGTATAATCAGACTGTAGACTGCATAATCAGGCTGTAGGTGGCTGTAGGCTGTATAATCAGGCTGTAGGTGGCTGTAGGCTGTATACTCAGGCTGTAGGCTGCGGAAGGCACTAAAAAACTCTCCTAGGCTGCTGTAGGCTGTATAACACTCTCCTAGGCTGCTGTAGGCTGTATAAAACTCTCCTAGGCTGCTGTAGGCTGTATAACACTCTCTTAGGCTGCTGTAGGCTGTATAAAACTCTCCTAGGCTGCTGTAGGCTGTATAACACTCTCTTAGGCTGCTGTAGGCTGTATAACACTCTCCTAGGCTGCTGTAGGCTGTATAACACTCTCTTAGGCTGCTGTAGGCTGTATAACACTCTCCTAGGCTGCTGTAGGCACTATAACACTCTCCTAGGCTGCTGTAGGCTGTATAACACTCTCCTAGGCTGCTGTAGGCTGTATCACACTGTATCATAACATTGTTTTATCAGATTATCTTTATCAAAACAGATTATTTTATCAGATAAAATAAAAGATAAAAAGATCTTTATCTGAAAAGATAAAGCTAATCACCAAACTTAAATATTCCTAGGCCTAGTATAACACATATATGTACCAGGTTAGGCCTCAGATATCCGCGTATTATAGGCCTATAGGATGAACTTCGGTTAAGTTGTCTTTGCTACATCAGTACAGAAACCGTTGGACCCGTTGCAATAGTAAACCGATTTCCTAGTTGCAGTTTTTTTTTTAACGACAATATACGTAGTGTGGTTCTCATAGTTAATGTACAGGTGGCTATGTGAGCCTATTCAACAATATCCAACAATAACACAACTACCCAATTACTATTTCCTTAACGCCCTCCCTGGTGATCAGACCATAACACAGGTTCCATACATGTAACATCAATTCAAATTCAAATTTGAATTTATGCAATTGTTTCAAAAATTCAAATTTATTCAAATTTGAATTTTAAACTCACATCACAGGCAATAAACATATTACCGAACATTGTGAGTTGATCAACATATACTTTTCTTATATGCAACACCAGTGCCAATATGATCTTATCATTTGTGAAGTAGAGAAGTAATTGAGGTAATAAAGCCATGAAGCCTCATGCTCAAAATCGCAAACTATCACTTGAACCCTTGACCAAGCTTGTTAACATATATGTAACAGTGGTATATACACTCCCCCCCCCCCACACGGGTCTATAGATCAGGCGCCACACTGCCCTTCACTACACATTAACCGGTTAACCGGCCACCACTGGCTCTTGCAACTGGCATTCGGTTATAAGAATGACTTATTGAGGCTTGGCGCTGCAAGTGAGAGAGGGAGAGAGAGAGAGAGAGAGGGGGAGAGAGAGTGGACCTACCTTACCTCACCAGAGGGGACTGTAGGTGTGTCTACCTGGTGTGGTGAGGGGTGAGGGAGAGAGTGAGGGGAGAGAGAAAGAGAGAGAGAGACGACGGCTCGCCAACCGCCATTGCTGCAACACTTAAAAATGTTGCCATAAGTCCCTTTCTCCCTCACAAAACATTTCAGTAATAAGTCTGTTTGTCCATACTTCGCCTAGTGTGCTGGTATTTATATCTCTGTGGAAGTGTTGTGTTGTGAATGTTATATTCTGTGGCGGGTATTTTGTTGTTTAAACGTGAGGAACGAGTTTGTTTGACAGTGAGAAAAGGAGCCAAGATATTATGGTAACTGTAGACTTGCCGGATGTCTGTATATATTCACCTAGTTGTACTTGCCGGGGGTTGAGCTCTGGCTCTTTGGTCCCGCCTCTCAACTGTCAATCAACTGGTGTACAAGTTCCTGAGCCTACTGGGCTCTATCATATCTACATTATAAACTGCGTATGGAGTCAGCCTCCACCACATCACTGCCTAATGCATTCCACCTGTTAACTACTCTGACACTGAAAAAGTTCCTTCTAACGTCTCTGTGGCTCATTTGGGTACTCAGTTTCCACCTGTGTCCCCTTGTTCGCGTCCCACCAGTGTTAAACAGTTTATCCTTGTCTACCCTGTCAAGTCCCCTGAGAATTTTGTAGGTTGTGATCATGTCTCCCCTTACTCTTCTGTCTTCCAGTGTCGTAATGTGCATTTCCCGCAGCCTTTCCTCGTAACTCATGCCTCTTAGTTCTGGGACTAGTCTAGTGGCATACCTTTGGACTTTTTCCAGCTTCGTCTTGTGCTTGACAAGGTACGGGCTCCATGCTGGGGCCGCATACTCCAGGATTGGTCTTACATATGTGGTGTACAAGATTCTGAATGATTCCTTACACAGGTTCCTGAACGCTGTTCTGATGTTAGCCAGCCTCGCATATGCCGCAGACGTTATTCTTTTTATGTGGGCTTCAGGAGACAGGTTTGGTGTGATATCAACTCCTAGATCTTTGTGTGTGTGTGTGTATACCAGGTTATAAACCACTGGTGGGTTGTGTTCCAGGGAGAAACTACAGTAGGCTTACCAGGATCTATGAGAATGTCAGCACTCAGCAGGAGTCAATGTGTGCTCCTGACCCCTCCTGTGTGTAGCACTAGCAGGGTACAGCAGCAGACGACTGACCCCTCCTGTGTGTAGCACTAGCAGGGTACAGCAGCAGACGACTGACCCCTCCTGTGTGTAGCACTAGTAGGGTACAGCAGCAGACGACTGACCCCTCCTGTGTGTAGCACTAGTAGGGTACAGCAGCAGACGACTGACCCCTCCTGTGTGTAGCACTAGTAGGGTACAGCAGCAGACGACTGACCCCTCCTGTGTGTAGCACTAGTAGGGTACAGCAGCAGATGACTGACCCCTCCTGTGTGTAGCACTAGCAGGGTACAGCAGCAGACGACTGACCCCTCCTGTGTGTAGCACTAGCAGGGTACAGCAGCAGACGACTGACCCCTCCTGTGTGTAGCACTAGTAGAGTACAGCAGCAGACGACTGACCCCTCCTGTGTGTAGCACTAGCAGGGTACAGCAGCAGACGACTGAGAGCAGGTTGAGAGCGTTCCCTTCCCAGACCTCAGGGTAAACCTTATTCCCTCAAACACCACGTACTAACCCGCTAATCGTTTAACAACCAGGTACGCCATTACTGCTGGGTGAACAGTTAATGATTGTCGCCTAGTCAATCCTCCCTAGGCCAGGATACGAACCTAGGCCAAAACGCTCGCGAAGCGCCAGGTGCTTGTCTTACCACTGCGCCACGGGGACTGCACTCGAAGCTTTACACGTATATGCAAGCGAGGAAATGCTGACTGCGACAAGGGTCATTAATCACAGCAGCACTATCGACACACCTGAAGCAGGCAGCAGTAGGTGAGAAGACACAGACATATGTCACATGACACTGACACTGTCAGCCAGGCAGGTACATACTCATTACTGGCCAAATACAAGTGTTGAGGTGAACACTGATCCACATGATGAAGCTGGCATCTCGGAGGGGCTACAGGCTCACTCTTGAGTGATCATCAAGAGCTGCGTAACTTGCAGCACCAAGCTGCATCTCAACAGCAGTGGTTGCAAAACTTTATATCAGTACACAGAGAAGTGACATTATCCTGATATTTACCTGAGGGCCACTAATACTAGTGGCCTCGAGGAGGACAGGAAGTCGGCGGCTTGTCAAAGGTTCCCCCATTTGCCCTGGTGATCTTTTCCAGCTGTATTTCAGAGCCCGGGAGAGTTTTGGCGTTTACGGCTTGCGTGGGTAGGCGGTTCCGCAGGTTTATCAACTCAAATCAAATGTTTATTTAGGTAAGGTACATACATAAAAGAGATTTTACAAAGAGTGATGGATTTGTAGTTAGGGCTAGTACATACAATGCCTAAAGCCACTATTACGCAAAGCGTTTCGGGCATGAAAAACTTAAATGACTAAAGCTTAATACTAATTGAGCATAAAGAATAAAATGAAAACATGGAATGAAAACATAGCTGAAAAAGCAGCACAAATACAATTATGTCGACAAACAGCGCTCTTTAAAAAAAAACAGACATGGGTTGACAATAGAAGGGTAAGGTAGGTTACAGGGAATTTATTAGGCATAGCTTCGTTTTTATCTTAAATTGGTTAAGAGAGGTACAGTCTTTAACATGGTTGGGAAGGTCATTCCACATTCTGGGCCCCTTGATTTGTAGAGCATTTCTAGTTTGATTAAGTCGTACTCTTGGAATATCAAAACTGTATTTATTTCTGGTGTGGTGCTCATGGGTTCTGTTACAACCTTCTATGAAGCTTTTGAGGTCAGGATTGGCATTACAGTTCAGCGTTTTACATATGTATAATACACATGAGAGAATGTGCAGTGACTTAATATCTAACATATTCAGAGATTTAAGTAGGGGTACCGAGTGATGTCTGGGGCCAGAGTTGTATATTGTCCTAATAGCAGCTTTGTGTTGAGAGAGAGACGTCACCGCCGGTAATGTTCTGCGTAAGGCAATATTCTCAAAGTTTTCCAGTTAGCAATACTTAGCGGACAATCAAATGGTGGCAACTACAATACAAGGCGCTCAGCCATCAACACCAGAGAGATGTTTATGACCGCAATGTTATGTATAAGGCCAATATTATCAAGATTATCCACCTCCACCTTTTTGTCATAAAGTTTCTTAGTCCTTACGATATATTCTAAGTATATTTCCTATTATTTATTTTCTTCTCAATTAGGTCTTTTAAATAATGACATAGTCCAGTACTGTGGTCAGTGAGACCCAGTGAATCTTTGTTTTACAGTTTTGTTTATGTATATTTCACTGTATGAGTAATAGGCCTACAGTTTGTTGTTGTTGATGATGATGGGAAGTCTGTTCGGTTTACCGAGGTTCCACCAGGCTACCTACTGTTCGGTTTACTGAGGTTCCACTAGGCTACCTACTGTTCGGTTCACCGAGCTTCCACTAGGCTACCTACTGTTCGCTTTACCGAGCTTCCACTAGGCTACCTACTGTTCGGTTTACTGAGGTTCCACTAGGCTTCCTACTGTTCGCTTTACCGAGCTTCCACAAGGCTACCTACTGTTCGCTTTACCAAGCTTCCACTAGGCTACCTACTGTTCGGTTTACTGAGGTTCCACTAGGCTTCCTACTGTTCGCTTTACCGAGCTTCCACAAGGCTACCTACTGTTCGCTTTACCAAGCTTCCACTAGGCTACCTACTGTTCGGTTTACTGAGGTTCCACTAGGCTTCCTACTGTTCGCTTTACCGAGCTTCCACTAGGCTTCCTACTGTTCGCTTTACCGAGCTTCCACTAGGCTACCTACTGTTCGCTTTACCGAGCTTCCACTAGGCTACCTACTGTTCGCTTTACCGAGCTTCCACTAGGCTACCTACTGTTCGGTTCACCGAGCTTCCACTAGGCTACCTACTGTTCGCTTTACCGAGCTTCCACTAGGCTACCTACTGTTTGGTTTACCGAGCTTCCACCAGGCTACCTACTGTTCGGTCTACCGAGCTTCCACCAGGCTACCTACTTAGGAAACAACCCACAATAGTTACCTATTCTATTTCCTGTCATTTGAACAGTGCCTAAAAGTTGTTTTTTTGTCCTGAAATGGGAATCGAATCTGAGATCTCTTCAGTTGTGAATGGCCACTGCACCACTTCCTCTGTTTACTGATTTCTTCAACAGCTGCACACAAAAGTTCATGTCGTCTGTTGACTTTACTTCCCATGTTCTCTCATCTTCCCTATTATGGTCTCTCGTCGTCCAGTCAGTCTATGTGAGTATACCGTCGCCCAGTAGCAGAAATTTGTTGCACCTGTATCAGGACCTTTTATTGCTAGGTGCTTTACTGTTAGGTGAACTGCATTGTTTTACTGCTAAGTGAACTGCATTGTTTTACTGCTAGATGAGCTGCATTGTTTACTGCTAGGTGAACTGCATTGTTTTACTGCTAAGTGAACTGCATTGTTTTACTGCTAGATGAGCTGCATTGTTTTACTGCTAGGTGAACTGCATTGTTTTACTGCTAAGTGAACTGCATTGTTTTACTGCTAGATGAGCTGCATTGTTTACTGCTAGGTGAACTGCATTGTTTTACTGCTAGATGAGCTGCATTGTTTACTGCTAGGTGAACTGCATTGTTTTAATGCTAAGTGAACTGCATTGTTTTACTGCTAGGTGAACTGCATTGTTTTACTGCTAGGTGAACTGCATTGTTTTACTGCTAGGTGAACTGGAATACAGTTCACCTATTAGTAAATATGTACCCGGGAGTTAGGCCGTAAAATAATGCCAAAACGCTGCTGAATTTCAAAATCCAGCTCCACAAAATCATCAGGACCAATGGGGAATGGGTGAGGGGGGGGGCCTTTGACAAGCCCCCGGCTTCCTGTTCTAGTCGAGGCCACTAGAGAGATGGTGGCCCTCAGGTAAATTCAGGTAGAATTACATAAACCCAAATTATCTATAGTTTTTCATTGTGGGGTTTACTCGTTGCTTCATGCAGAGTTTAAATGAAGATGAAACGGCTTGTAAATAGATAATTTATAACGTAACTTGATATAAAAATATGTTTTAATTAATAAGATCTTTATCCCCCTGAATTTCTCCTCGAAGAGACGATGAGTATAAGGCAGCAGGGAGTCGATCGATATTACATTCCATAAATGCGGCATTTTGACGCACGTACAGTAGAAAATTATTATCAAAACAGTAAATTTAATTCGCGTATATTAATATTATGGTTAAATAAGGGCTTAAAGATGGAACAGGAGAAGGGAGATGGGTTGTAAATATTTAGCGGCGGAGTCCCTAGCTACACGTCAGCTGATGGAGCCAGTCGGCGCTCGTCTCCTCCAGCAGGTCTTGGCGCTATTACTCCCGTTTTGGACCCTAAATATCACCCACACGAGGCCCTCGTGCCCCGCCAGGTGACCCCACGGTACTGACCCGCTCTCAGGGGGGCGTTTGACCCAGGTAGGGTGGAGGTGTATGGTGGTGCTAGTGTCTGTCTGTCTCTGGTTTCAAGTGAAACCATGACTAGGTTTTGTGAGGTATGGGAATGGTTGTGTATACAGTGTATTTATATATTTTGTTTTTGTTTTTACATCCTGGCGTTTTGGAATTATGGGTTTTTGTTGCAAAATGTGTATAGTTTTTGTTATTGGTTTGGGTCTCGTGTGGGTTTGTGGGTTGTCAGTCGACCCCAGGTGTGGGGTTCACGGGGTGGTCATGTTTTGGGGTGTTGTGCCGTGGGTTGTGAAGGTCGCAGTTTGGGTTTAAGAATTTTTTTTGTGGGGGGGGGGAGGGTCGTATTTTGGCGAGGCTGTCCTCTGGAGTCCCAGTGGTTATGTCGTGGTCTGCTTTGGTCACAGTTTGGGCGTGAAGGTCATATTTTGTTCTCGTCAGTCTGTCCTGATTTCATTTTAGATGTGGAGACCAAATATTAATATTTTGTGTGTGTTTGAGACTGGGTCACATTTTGGGTGGGCAATCTGTGGTCGTTATAAGAGGAAAGACGAGTGACGTATAGCAGTTTAAGTTGAGGCTTTCTAATAATCTTGGAGTCGGCTCAGATATAGCTGACAAGAGGGTTGGGTGGCTTCTGCCACTAAAGAATGCTTGCTTGTCTTGTGTTTCCTGTTGCTGGACACGAAGCCTGTTAGGCGTGTCACAGTTCCCGCCCTTTTTGAAGGATGCCACCCACAACAGTTGATTGACTACTGCTAGATTAATTACTGTTAGGGGTAAACAAAGGCATCACTAATAAGTAAAATGGGCCCAAAGATCTTGCCTTTCCCGGGATTTGAATTGGTGTCCAACTGGTTGCAAGCCAGCCGCTCTACAGGCCTACCTTCCAATGATTTTGGGGCTCTACATCCCTGTGGCCCAATCCCCAATGTGCTGGACTGGTCAACCAGGCTGTTGCACGTGGCTGCTTGCAGCCTGATGTACGTATCACAGCCTGGTTGATCAGGTATTCTTAGAAGGTGTAGGTCAGCTCAAGTGAACGAAATGTAAAGATGCAAAATGTGAAAGTAACCAAAGTATATTTCATTAAATGTATGTAGTTCTTATATGTATATATGTATTCAAAGTGATATTTTTTGTGCTGACAGATATTTAAGAAGTAATCTTAGCAAAGGGTAATTTAAAATTTGCATGTCATTTTATCTTCAAGGTTCCGGATATGAAGCAGCATGGTTGAGGGATCCGCCTTGGAGTTGGCAGACACCGAGGGGGCTATGGCTCCCTCGGAGACGAGCGAAGAGGTCGTGCTTCAAGTTCCGCCAGTGGCCCCGAGACCCACTATCTGCTATGGCCGTATACTTCTGGGCGAGATTACTCCACTCCTCGCCGCCATGAAACGCTCAACACCACGTTGGTCTTCTCACCAACAGGTTGGTGCAGTGGTAAGGCGGTTTGACATTGATAGAGAGTACTGTCTTAAGTTCACTATCCTAATTTTATGGAAAGGACAAACACTAGATAAGCCAGACATGCTGATAAATAGAATTTTTACCGCCAAAGTCCAAATGTGAAGAGATTCGGAGTTTTTTGTACATCATTTAAATTTCCACACAGTATAATTTAAAAATATACCGGTACAGTCCTGTAATTTTTAAAAAATACCAGTACAATACTATAATTTTTAAACTACTGTATACCAGTACAGGACTGTAATATAAAAACAGAAACTTAACCATATACCTTGTTGTAGTTCGTCTTCTTGATCAATGCTGCATACAGTACTGTATCATCAAATCAATTATTTTTTAAAATTTACATTACCTAACTTAACACAATACTAAAATGACTGTACACTACATGAGCTTGGCAAGGTCAGTGTTGACTGCCAGCTGCTGAAGCCTCACTGGTTGAAGGCTCTTGGCTTCACTGGTGAGGCTTCACTGGTTGAAGGCTCTTGGCTTCACTGGTGAGGCTTCACTGGTTGAAGGCTCTTGGCTTCACTGGTGAGGCTTCACTGGTTGAAGGCTCTTGGCTTCACTGGTGAGGCTTCACTGGTTGAAGGCTCTTGGCTTCACTGGTGAGGCTTCACTGGTTGAAGGCTCTTGGCTTCACTGGTGAGGCTTCACTGGTTGAAGGCTCTTGGCTTCACTGGTGAGGCTTCACTGGTTGAAGGCTCTTGGCTTCACTGGTGAGGCTTCACTGGTTGAAGGCTCTTGGCTTCACTGGTGAGGCTTCACTGGTTGAAGGCTCTTGGCTTCACTGGTGAGGCTTCACTGGTTGAAGGCTCTTGGCTTCACTGGTGAGGCTTCACTGGTTGAAGGCTCTTGGCTTCACTGGTGAGGCTTCACTGGTTGAAGGCTCTTGGCTTCACTGGTGAGGCTTCACTGGTTGAAGGCTCTTGGCTTCACTGGTTGAAGGCTCTTGGCTTCACTGGTTGAAGGCTCTTGGCTTCACTGGTTGAAGGCTCTTGGCTTCACTGGTTGAAGGCTCTTGGCTTCACTGGTTGAAGGCTCTTGGCTTCACTGGTTGAAGGCTCTTGGCTTCACTGGTTGAAGGCTCTTGGCTTCACTGGTTGAAGGCTCTTGGCTTCACTGGTTGAAGGCTCTTGGCTTCACTGGTTGAAGGCTCTTGGCTTCACTGGTTGAAGGCTCTTGGCTTCACTGGTTGAAGGCTCTTGGCTTCACTGGTTGAAGGCTCTTGGCTTCACTGGTTGAAGGCTCTTGGCTTCACTGGTGAGGCTTCACTGGTTGAAGGCTCTTGGCTTCACTGGTGAGGCTTCACTGGTTGAAGGCTCTTGGCTTCACTGGCGAGGCTTCACTGGTTGAAGGCTCTTGGCTTCACTGGTTGAAGGCTCTTGGCTTCACTGGTGAGGCTTCACTGGTTGAAGGCTCTTGGCTTCACTGGTGAGGCTTCACTGGTTGAAGGCTCTTGGCTTCACTGGTGAGGCTTCACTGGTTGAAGGCTCTTGGCTTCACTGGTTGAAGGCTCTTGGCTTCACTGGTGAGGCTTCACTGGTTGAAGGGCCTTTGGTTGCTTTTCTTACCAAACAAGAATGCAGTTTAGCTTGCCTCGTGTGTTCAGGCGCCTCTTGTGATCAGCTCCTTGGTTCACCTCAAGTACTGATACATGTTTCCAACTTGAGGATTAGCACAGTTGGATGACAAATTAATTAGCATATCAAGAGAAGACATGAATAAACTGTATTTTCTTCTGTGTGGTGTTGGTTACTTATTGCCATTTCCATCCTCCTCCTCGTCCTCTTCGTCGACCTCGTCGGTAACACTGAAGAATCTGTTTGTCGCTCAGCACGCCGTATCCGAGGTCATCAGCATTTCTCACTAGCTATTCAAGCACATCTTGTCTTTCTAAATTTGTGCCTTTGTGCCTGTAAATTTGTTTCTGAACATGCCATGGATTTCATCTGTAAATCCTCCAAAATTCATATCATATTCCTTGTCATTGTTGACCATAGCTGTGAGAATTTTCTTCAGGTATTCTTCATTGTAGATTCCTTTACTTCACTTTACAGTTTTGCACATTATAAATTGCTGATACATAGGCTGGATGAGAGAGATGTATTACTGTTATACATAAATGTTATCTTGCCATACACATGATCTTGCCACACACATGGTCTTGCCATACACGTTATCTTGCCCTACATGTGAAGTTAAAGTCTCAATACATGAGTGGGCATGTGCATTATCAAGCAGCAGCAAAGCCCAAATTTCACTTGGCCTGACTTTGTGTTTCTTAACTTAAGAGTCACGAACATCCTTGCAAAACACATCATGAAACCAAGAAAGATCATGTATGTACACCATGCATTCTTTGAGCTATAATATTGCACAGGCAGATTGTTGAAACAGTGTTGCAATGCACCTTGTTTCTTGGATTTGCCAACAATTGCACACATGGTTGTGAGAGAGCCATCAGCATTGGCACACACCATGGCCAACAGCCTATCCTTGTTAACCTTACGCCCCTGACACACTGCCCTCACTCCTAGAGCTTTTTTCAGGCAAACTCCTCCAATGCAGTCCAGTTTCATCACCGTTATAGATTTTATACGAATATAAATTATAAGACAAAATGTATGTTTAACTGATCCAATACTGCTCGTATCTGCACTAAATTTTTCACCGACAATTCTCCTCTTCAAAATAGTGTGCCTCTCTTTAAACCTTGCAATCCATCCTGTAGTATTCCAAAGCTGTCTGCAAACCTGTTTGCAGCATTTCTTATTTCTGCACGGTGAATTGTGACACCCGCTGTGCGGTGCTGTGCCGACCACTTGTACACAGCCTCACCTAACTGTGCATAGTGTGCAGGCTTCAAGGTTTTTCTATTAGACCTTCTGCTAGTGCTTGCACCTTCACTCTCAATGGTTGTTATGTATTTCACGAGTTCATTTTTTGTTTCTTTTTATCACAGACACTACTCGTGCCTATACAGTACCAAATTCCTTGGCAATACTTACAGCTGACCGGCCATTTTCACATAATTCTATGACCCGAAGCTTATTTTTATTGGTTAGTGTAGTGTAACCTTCTTCCTCTTAACACCTCCAAAACAATTACTGCTGCTAACACACACAGTCCTGGCAAAAAAATGATCAACGTTACTATCAAACCAAAAAAGTTATTAAAGAAAATGTTTGACTACTGACTCTGTGGTATAGTGCGAAGGGCAAAAGCACCTTCTTCCCTGGGATATCTGGCTGTTTAGCTTGACCAGGTCTGGACTTTGTGTTTCTTGCGACACGTTACCTAGGTTATCTTGAGGTTATCTTGAGATGATTTCGGGGCTTTAGTGTCCCCGCGGCCCGGTCCTCGACCAGGCCTCCACCCCCAGGAAGCAGCCCGTGACAGCTGACTAACTCCCAGGTACCTATTTACTGCTAGGTAACAGGGGCATAGGGTGAAAGAAATTCTGCCCATTGTTTCTCGCCGGCGCCCGGGATCAAACCCGGGACCACAGGATCACAAGTCCAGCGTGCTAACCGCTCGGCCGACCGGCTCCCCAAGGAGCCATCTAGGTCGCTAGATAGAAAAAAAATCTTCAGCCTGTTTACGTAGTGTTTAAGAGATTTGTATTTGTTATAGTATTAGTTTTGACTGAAATTAATTGTTTGAACATAATTCTTGGTTATTTTATACAATACAGATCATATTTCCCCTCATCCTGCAGACAGTTTCTCTCAACTCTTCCCTCTCCCCCGACACACCCCCCCGTACCCTGAAAACCCACCCACCCCAACACCTCCCATACCCTACACCTTGGGGCCACTACTGTATGGGATTAATACAGTATGGCCCAATGTCTCTTTGCGATATCCGGCAAAATTAACAGTTTTCCAGATTTTTGTCCAAATATGATGAAGCTGGCAGAAACATATCTGGACTTGATTTTAGACTCCATGTCTGTCTGGTTATCTGAATTGCTATTCAGATATGACAAAGTTTTGCCAGAAAAATATCCGGCCGCGATTTTTTGCCGGATAACCCCAAATCTTCAGATCGGTGGGCTTTGGATATGGGAGCTCATACAGTAGTGTTTCATCTTGTATGAAGACTAAACCACATGCCAGAAAATGAGGAGACAATGTTGTTTAGGTCCGTCCCGGACCATTATCAAGTCGCTTTCATCTAGTAGGTTGTTCCTTGTCTGTGCCAAGAATATTTTGTCAGATGCAAAAGTCCTATTGCTTTTCCACTCTTCAGAAAGATTAGTATACAACCCTTTTTTGAGACAGTGCAGACACACCTTCCAACCCTGGAAGACTTGGGCTCAAGTCTCCATTATTCCCTCATGTGGATGATTGGGGTTGAAACCCCCACCATTCCCTCGTCTAGAAGATTAGGGCAGAAGCCCCCCACCATTCCCTCGTCTAGAAGAGTAGGGCTGAAGCCCCCCACCATTCCCTTATCGAGAAGAGTAGGGCAGAAGCCCCCCACCATTCCCTTATCGAGAAGAGTAGGGCAGAAGCCCCCCACCATTCCCTTATCGGGAAGAGTAGGGCAGAAGCCCCCACCATTCCCTTATCGAGAAGAGTAGGGCAGAAGCCCCCCACCATTCCCTTATCGAGAAGAGTAGGGGTTGAAGCCCCCCACCATTCCCTTATCGAGAAGAGTAGGGCAGAAGCCCCCCACCATTCCCTTATCGAGAAGAGTAGGGCAGAAGCCCCCCACCATTCCCTTATTGAGAAGAGTAGGGGTTGAAGCCCCCACCATTACCTTATCGAGAAGAGTAGGGGTTGAAGCCCCCCACCATTCCCTTATCGAGAAGAGTAGGGGGTTGAAGCCCCCACTATTCGAGCATATCAAAGACCAGCACTGAAGGCCAACACCCCTCTTCTAGCAGACTAGGAATGATGGCATTCACCAAACCTAGGAGAGTAGGGCAGCTACCTTGCAGGGGAAATAGCTTTGTGCCCTGATACGAGTGGTTAAGCTGTTCCTAGTGAAGCCGTCTCTCCTGACCTAGACCAAGGTCCAAGATTGTCCTCGAAAAGACAGAGTATTTATAGAGTTTATTCCCATGTAGGGAGTGTGGGAGGGACTGCAGTTTATGTATACAACACTTCGTTTGTGTTATGTATATAACACAATCTCACTTCGTTCCATTGTGTGTTAAACGCAGTCTCGACTATGATCATTTCTCACAAGTATGTCTTGGTTTTTAATATTAACAGTACTCTTGGGACGGCAGTGTGTGATGGTGGTGTACGCCGGAGATGAACTGTCTGGGATGTTGATAGGGCCTTTGTGGTGGATAGAGGATTTCTCATGTGGTGGTAAATGTGCATGCATGTGGTCAACACGTAATGGCGGGTGTACGTATAATGAACACTTAATAGTGTGAATGTAAACATAGTAATCATTACTCATGTGGTGTTAAATGTGCATGCATGTGGTCAACACATAATGGCGGGTGTACGTATAATGAACACTTAATAGTGTGAATGTAAACATAGTAATCATTACTCATGTGGTGGTAAATGTGCATGCATGTGGTCAACACGTAATGGCGGGTGTACGTATAATGAACACTTAATAGTGTGAATGTAAACATAGTAATCATTACTCATGTGGTGTTAAATGTGCATGCATGTGGTCAACACGTAATGGCGGGTGTACGTATAATGAACACTTAATAGTGTGAATGTAAACATAGTAATCATTACTCGTGTGGTGTTAAATGTGCATGCATGTGGTCAACACGTAATGGCGGGTGTACGTATAATGAACACTTAATAGTGTGAATGTAAACATAGTAATCATTACTCGTGTGGTGTTAAATGTGCATGCATGTGGTCAACACATAATGGCGGGTGTACGTATAATGAACACTTAATAGTGTGAATGTAAACATAGTAATCATTACTCATGTGGTGTTAAATGTGCATGCATGTGGTCAACACATAATGGCGGGTGTAAGTATAATATACAATAAATAGTGTTATGTAAGCGTAGTAAACATGCACAGATTTTTTCTCTCAGGATATTCATAGGTGAAATATAGGAGCAGCAAATTCTAACCCTTTGCAAGACATGCTTGAAAAGTTTATTAAAACTTTAATCTCTCTTGTGTTCATTTCTCTTCCCTATGTGTAGATCTTTCAATACCTAGACCTTTATGAATAGATAAGTGCCTTCTGTAAACACCTTTTCACAAAGGCCCCTTGTCATCATATCAACTAGAGACCAATTACAGGCAGGTTGTATACTTTCAGGACATAGAACGTGACCCACTGGTTGTGAAACTGAAAGAGCTAAGGACTGCCGTCACGGCCCTGGGGCCAGACGATACTATGGACCCAAGCACATTCCTGGACCCATTTCTGGCCATAATTCGCTCCGAGGATACCACAGGACCAGTCACGAAAAGTGCTCTTGCTGCCGTTAACAGGTTTGCTACACATTTAATTCCCGTTGAGTGGGGTGACAGGAAGCCTGTACTTTTGGCTTATTGAGGTCCTCTCCCCAGGGCTAACACAACTACTGACATCCCCTCAGGATGCATCCCACAACAGTTGTCTAACTCCGAGGTTTTTGTTTATGGACTGGTGAACAAAGGCCTCGGGTGAGAGGAAGTGTGGCCGGAGAATTGAGCCCAGGTCTCTTGATAGTGAACTGATGACACAGACCACTGGACTACAGGATGCATTGATGTCTAGAAAATTATCATAACCCTATACCAGCTAATATTGATTTTCTGGGGGGGAACCCCTACGGGTTCCCTGGAGCTATCCAGGCTGATAAGACTATCCCTAATTTATGTTGTTTTTTGGCGCTTACCTTTCTGGGTGCCTGTCCCAGTCGATGGCAGATATAGAATGCTCCAAAATCACATGTGCATTTCTATAGGCCATTGCTCCATGTGCCTCTCTGAGGAGGCCAGGTTCTGGCTTGTGGTCCCCAGTAGGCCTAGAACTCCACCCACATGATAGTCTTATCAGCCTGGATAGCTCCGGGAAGCCTCCGGGACTTGCCCAAAAAATGGCGTTTCATTACATTCAACGCTTGTTTTTTGTCTGCTTGCTTATTAAAATTTTTTCGTATAATACGATATGTAACGTCAGGTGTCTCATGACCCTGCAAATTGAAAATCGGCATCCTAGCATGTGCCGTCGGCTGGTGGTGATGTCCCAAAACATGGCTCCTCTCACCCCATCACAACTCTTCCTTTTTCAGTGGTATATTCTGCCAAAATTTATCTATTTGTGATTTCTTCTTTTCCCCACGTAACTTAGTGTCATGGGCATAGCATGGTATATGCATTAGTATAGATATATTATCTCTTGATAATATATCAAAATATATTATCAAGATAAATTATAAAAATATTATATTATAAAAATATAATATATCATAATATATCAAAATTGTAAACGTCGTCGTCTCTTCATTTTCTAGTGTGTGGTCTGGTCATCATATTATCTCTTGATTAAAAAGATAAAAACTCAACTTGCCCCAGCCTGGGCAAGTTTGGTTTTAAGAAAAAACTGCTCAAATTGCCATATGTGATTAATCTTTATGGTTTTTAGTATTTTGTTTTCCCTATAATAGAGTAAAATGACTATAATACAGTAATATGACAATATAATACAGTAATATGACAAGTACATGTATAGATGTAAACTTGCAGCAGGGGTGGAGGGAGGAGTGGGGGGAGGGGGGCAGGATAAGTAATTGTGATGACCTTGTACTCAGTTTGGAGGACTGCAGTCATCATGATAACACTCTTGCCCACCAGTTGGTCATCACTCGAGTACTCAGCTCTATATAGTGGTGCCTCGATTAACGAATTTAATCCGTTCCGGCACCGAGCTCGTCATGTGGAAAACTTGTCTTGCGAAACAACAACAAAACTGTCATCGGAGGTGTCTGAGAACCAGCGGGAACGCTCGTTGATCGAGCGAGAGCTCGTCAGTCAAGACAAATTTTCTGGCTCCAGTTACTCGAAATGCTCGTAACTGGAGCCGCTCGTCACTCAGGTTCCACTGTACTTGTACTTTGTACTCATAAACCTATCAAGGCTGAAAGTTTTTGCTCAGTATATACTGTAAATGATATGTATAGGTGGTGGTTAACTCGTGAAATGTATATAGGATAAATAAAATATTGCCTCCTTGCATGGAAAAATTAAAACAAGTTTTTTGTCTAATGTTAAAAACCATGCCCTTGGCTTAGGAAAAATGCCTCCAAAATTGTAAGTCGCTTTTCAAGATGGCATGCTACATAGCCTTCCTGGCTTGGTGCCTTCTTTTGATAATTACTACGTACTTTTCAAGATGGCAGATGTTTACTGGAGGCCTCAGATACCAATTGGGAGCACAGTTTACCTGCTGGAGTTTCAAATGATGCAAATTTACCTAAAATGTCTTAAGGTTGACATGTACACCATTGGCTGGTCTTCCTAAGACGCTATGCACATTTAAAGGGGGTAACAATATTAGTTACTTAGTATATGAGGAACTTCCACTTGAATGAATTTCCTGACCTGTCTGTGGGATTGAGTCATATTTGAAGTTTGCCATATTTTTGTTTTGCCATTTTGTAACTTATTTTTGTTATTGTATACAATATGCAATGTGCATATATAGTATTTAGATACTGAAATGACTTTTGCCATGAAGCCAGGAATATTGCCATTAGCCTGTATGTACAGTATGAGTAAATGTGTGCGCATTGTGAGCTCACGTTAGTGTTCACATAATGTAGTTAGTCGTGCTAAAAGTACGTGTGGGGCAAAAAGTTGCTTGCACATGTACTAAAGTTTGTATTCAACATATTGTGTTGTATTTATCAGCTACTGTATATTATTTTATAATTTTTAAATTACAGTTTGAAGGACTTTATTTTGTCCCTTTCAGAATGCTGAACTATGGCCTCATCACGGAGGAGTGTAACAGTTCCGTCAGTGCCGTAGAGGCAGTGGCAGCAGCTGTCACGCATGCACGCTTTGTTGGCACTGATCAGGGGGCCGATGAGGTTGTCCTGTGGGAAATACTCACTGTTTTACGAACACTCATGTTGGGCCCGGTTGGACATCTTCTCACAAATGAGTCTGTCTGTGAGATTCTGAATTCCTCGTTTCGGATTTGTTTTGAGACTCGTCTGAGCGAGTTATTGAGGAACTGCACTGAGGATGCTCTGCGGCACATGGTCCAGCTGCTCTTTGCTCGCCTTCCGCAGTTTAAGGACGATCCAAGGGCCCAAGGACAGGCCAAGAGACTGAAGATGCGTGCAGGAGGTGAGAGCAAAGTACGCAGGAAGGGCAAGTCGCCACGACCAACACCTTCCTCAACACCTCCCCCCGAGTCTCTCACAATAGCGGAGGTATCGGAAGAGGTAAGGAATGAAGAAACTGTGCCTTGTGTAGATAACAGAGAGGCGCCATCACCACTAGCTGCAGTGTCACCATCTGAATCAGAACTAGAGTCTCTGAGTAGTGCCATCGTAGGCGACAACCCCATCGGGGACACTGCTTCTGTTGACTCAGGCATCATGGAATCCATTTCCCCAGTTGAGAACAAAATTGATATATCCAATGCACATTTAGCACCAGATAATTGCAGCTCGATGGAAAATCTTGCAAGTCCAGTAAGCGAACCCGATGGTGTTCGAATCTCCAAGACTTGCGATGTTGATCAGATTGAGGCAATATCCAGAGAGCGATCGGAAACTAACACATCGCAGTCTTCCGCAGAGGTAGTAAATCACGGCGACTTGGAATCGGAGCCATCAGAAGCCATCTCTCGACCCGATGACATGCTTCAGGTTGAGAAAGAAGACTTTATAAATGCTCAAGGGGTCAAGTTCACTCAGGAGGGAGTGAGCATTGAAGGGGGGGCATTAGTGCCATATGGAATGCCCTGCGTTAGAGAGGTGTTCCGTTTTCTGATATCCCTAACTTCCCCGACTAATGAACAAAACACCCCTTCCATGATACTTACGGCACTTAACCTCCTGACTGTTGGTCTGGAGGTTGGATCTCACCACATTAATCAAACCCCTTCACTAATGAGTCTCCTGAAGGATCAGCTTTGCAGGAACCTATTCATGCTGCTTAAACCCGATCACAGGTTGAGCATCTTTATGGCCTCCCTGCGCATATGTACATTGTTTTGTGAATCCCTGCGTACCCACTTCAAGTTTCAGATTGAGATGTTTTTGAATAAACTGACTGAAATTATTACATCCGAGACAGCAACCGTCACGTACGCTCACAAGGAGTTAGCTTTGGAGACTATTGTCCAGTTGTGGCGAATTCCTGGATTTATCACAGAGTTGTTCCTCAACTATGACTGTGACCTGTATGCGTCCAACTTATTTGAAGACCTTACTAAGGTACTCTCCAAGAATGCATTCCCTGTTCAAGGTCTCTACTCAACAAATTTGCTGTCTTTAGAGGCACTCTTTACAGTGATAGAGACAATCGATGAACACGGCACAGACCGAGACGGCAAGTCTTGCGATGTACAAGATCCCAAACAGATACCTCTGGTGGTGGCTCCAGTGTCTTCGGGATACCTATTGGGGCTGGGTCTTAGCGGTGGGTTCTCGCCAGTCACGCCAAGGCTCAAGGCCCGCACTGTCCTGATGGATGATCGAACTGTGTCACGAGAACACCTTGTAGCCCTGAAGGAACAGAAGAAACTTCTGGCAGCGGGAACCGATCAATTCAACGTCAAACCGGACAAAGGCATTAAGTTTTTGCAAGACAATGGTATCATTGGTAAGACCAATGATGACATCGCTGTATTTCTTCGAGAAAATCCTCAACTGTGTAAGAAAATGATTGGCGAGTACGTGAGCAAGAAAAAGAATGTCGACATACTCTCGGCTTTTGTCGTGTCCTTTGAATTTCGTGGACTGCGTGTGGATGAGGCCTTGCGGATGTTCCTGGAGAGTTTCCGGCTTCCGGGAGAAGCTCCGCTAATTTCTATCATCATTGAGCATTTTTCCTCTCACTGGCACACTAGCAACAACGAGCCGTTTGGGAAGGAAGATGCGGCTTTTACTCTGGCTTATGCCATCATCATGCTGAACGTTGACCAACACAATCAGAACGCAAAGAAGCAGAACATACCCATGACTCTGGACCAGTTCCGGAACAATTTGCGGGGCGTTAATGATGGCAAAGACTTTGATCCGGAGATGCTGGAAGAAATATACAATGCAATTCGTGTGGATGAAATTGTCATGCCATCTGAACACACCGGCTTGGTAAAGGAGAACTACATGTGGAAAATGCTGTTGAAGAGAGGTGTCACCAAGGAGGGGGAGTACCTCTTGGCAAATAGCAACATTGCCTTTGACCGGGATTTGTTTGCCATCTGCTGGGGTCCGACAATTGCTTCACTCTCGTATGTGTTTGACAAATCCTCTGACGATGCCATAATTCAAAGAGCTGTGTCGGGCTTCAGGAAATGTGCATCAATTTCTGCACGATATGGTATGAGCGATGTCTTTGATAACTTAGTGGTTTCACTCTGCAAATTTACCACTCTGACAGCCTCCTCTGTTGAAGCACCTGAGCATGTTACCGTATCATTTGGGTCCAATAAAAAGGCTCAGCTTGCCGCCAGGACGGTGTTTAGACTCGTCACTTCACACGGCGACATTTTGAGAGACGGCTGGAAGAATATCTTGGATCTCCTCCTGCAACTCTTCCGTTGTCGTCTTCTTCCGTCCTCTCTAGTCGAGAGTGAGGACTTTGTTGAGACGAGCGGCCGTGTGAGCTTAATGCGCGAGACCCCAGCTGCTGTTCCAAGAGTAGAATCTGGGCTCCTGTCATCACTGTATTCATACATCTCGCTTGGGGATGGTGGCACTGCCCGAGGGACCAACCCCGAAGATGTAGAGTTTTCCCAGAGAGCAAGAACCTGCATTTTAGAGTGTCATCCCGAGAAGCTCATTACAGAATCGGCATTCCTTCGTTGCGATTCATTAAATGAACTTTTGAAAGCAATGATGGGTGCTGGAGATGCTAGCACTCTTGGCGAAGCAGGAATTGGCTCTCGAGGAAGTTTACTTGAAGGAGGGAATGCAGGGGGACTAGATGAACATAGTCAAGCCTTCCTACTTGAATTAGTCGTGCAAGTCTTGGTAGCCAACAAAGACCGAGCATTTGGTGTTTGGCCAGGTGTACGAAACCACATTTATTCTTTATTGATGGGAGCAGCTGCCGCCGATCGTCAGTTTCTCTTGGAGCGGTGTGTTGTAGCCATGTTGCGGCTCGCCAAAGTTCTCCTGCGACGACCCAACCTAGCCAACCCAATTCTGCAAGCCCTCCGCATGCTGCTGCTGCTTCGTCCCACAGTGTTGCTGCGAATATCGTTACAAGTTGTCTGTGGTCTGCGTGAGGTAAGTTCCAATTCATGAGTTATGGAACAAGTAGATTGTTTAATATAAAGAGAATGACTGATAACAGGAGAGTAGAAATATTGTGTAGAAATGAGGTAAAATTGGCATTATAAAGGGAAAACTTAAACAAATGTAAATGAGGCAGGTCTGAGTGAGAAGACTTGATAAGGGTCCAGGATGGACCGAGACATCATTCGTCACTTTCATTTCATGCGTGGGGGAACAGCCACATTATTGTAACTGCACCTGCGGTCTCTATTCTCACGGAGAGTCATTCAAATTTCATATATAGTATTGTGCATATAATATTGCTTACAGACTACCAAAGTCCTCCTTTTTTATATTGAGTAAATTGTTGAATGTCTTCACTGCTTTCATCCCATTTTCTAGGTTTTGAGTGTCAATACGGATCATATTCAAGACTCCAGTGATTGGGCTGTGTTGTTTAATCTCCTGGAGTGCACTGGGGCTGGGGCCAAACCTCCCCCGATGGTCAACTCGGAACATGCCGATGTCGCCAGCAACGCAGGTGAGAACACACTCGGTGATGACGGTACTATGAATACAGTATATGTTCCGTGTATCACTACAACTGTATTATAGTGGTCTTTATCACATCTTTAACAGTAAATATAGGAATTGGTTTAATTTTCCTCTCAAACTGTGAGCATCTTATAGGCTTTAACTTTGAGATATCATTCTATGCTGTTGTTGACTTGGAGGGGCAATGACAAGCCAATGAATAATATCGTTACATGCTTGTGTTATAGCTAGAGGGAAGAAAATACCAGGCGAGTTTTGTCATGTTTAGAAAAGGTTTCATTGTACTGTCTATGCTTGGTAATCCAAATCGTATGCGGCCCACCCCCTATTTGAGTTAGCTAAATATATGGGGCAGCTGAATATTCAAGTTGGTCAAATTTCTTGCTAGCAGTGTCGAAAATTTAACATTTGCTATTATTTTGTATTGCAACCCGGCTGCTGCTGCTGCTGCTGTTTCCCAGCGCATTTCCATGGTTTATCTTCATACTCTGTTTACTTGAACACGATTAATGTGAATTCGTTTGGATTATCTGAAGGTTCAGGTTACCGGAATATGGATTACTGAACTCTTATAATGTGACGAGTTAAAATATTAAAGTACCTGTACAGTAGTGTACGTATTTAAATTTGTGATTAGTTATATCTACTATAGCCAAATTGGCTCTATAATGATTTATAGATCAAACTTCACACTCAAAGTGATTTTCTGTGAATTAAAAAAATGTTGAATCAGGAGCAGATACTGGAAAGGTATACCCACCATGGCCTCTATACCCACCATGGCCTCTATACCCGCCATGGCTTCTGTACCCACCATGGCCTCTATACCCACCATGGCCTGTATATCTGCCATGGCTTCTGTACCCACTATGGCCTCTATACCTGCCATGGCCTGTATATCTGCCATGGCTTCTGTACCCACCATGGCCTCTATACCCGCCATGGCCTGTATATCTGCCATGGCTTCTGTACCCACTATGGCCTCTATACTTGCCATGGCCTGTATATCTGCCATGGCTTCTGTACCCACTATGGCCTCTATACCCGCCATGGCCTGTATATCTGCCATGGCTTCTATACCCACTATGGCCTGTATAATTAGTTACTGCACGGCTGACTTGCATCAGACGCACCATATGCAGCATATGTTGCATGAATTGCATAGCAGATACAAGTAGAAACGTATTGTAGTAGTGTGTGTTGGACAAGTTAAATAAAACAGAAACCCACACTTACGAAACACACCAAGAAACGGAAATCCACACGTGCGGGGTTGGGTCATTTGTTTTCTGGTACGTTACTCTGATTTGTGTTTCTTGTGTAAGTTATGATCATGGCAGTTCTGTACGTACAGCTTTGGTGATACATAGGTTTATGGTGGCTTTATACGTAGGATCACGGTGATTTTGATTTTATGTGAGATCGTGGTGGTTTTCTATGTAGGGTTGCGTTGGGTCATGATTTTATTCGTAAGATCACAGTGGTTTTATATGTAGCTTCACAGTGGTCGTGTGTGTTAGGGTCACCTTACCTTGAGGTTACCTTAAGGTGCTTCCGGGGCTTAGCGTCCCCGCGGCCCGGTCATCGACCAGGCCTCCTGGTTGCTGGACTCTCACAGTGGCTCTATGCATCAGTGGCTCAATGCATGGGGTCTTGGGGGTTCTGCGTGAAGGGTCACTGTGGTCCTATATGTACTGTCACGTTGGTTCTGTTTGTAGGGTCATGGTAGTTTTGTGTGTAGTTATGGTGGTTCTATATATAGGGTCACAGTAATTATATATATAAAATTGACATATTTTATTCCTGATGGTTAATTCCATTTTCCTATACTAATGCTGTTGCTGTCTTCTCCAGGATATTGCCTTTGTTCTGCATGGAAGTGGGTGACAGATTATATATTAATAATGTGCTGGGGCCGTCGTGTGGCATCTTGGGGCATTCCCGCCAAACACACACCGAAACTACGACGTTGCTACAACATTCAAACAAGTTTTAACACTTCCTAACCAGTTACAGTATAACAACCAATATAGCAAGTTGTAACAGCATTCTAATATGTCATAAACACGTTAAGCCAAGATGTAACAACTTTATTACAAGTTGTAACAAGCGGAAAATAGACAGTTTCGGTTTGTGTTTCCAGGGTTGGGCCATACTTTGGGCTGTTTGGTGGCATCTTGGGCCATACTTTGGGCTGTTGGGTGGCATCTTGGGCCATTGGGCAGTATCTTGGGCCATTGAGCCATACTTTGTGCTATTTGATGGCATGTTGATCCATCGTGTGGCATCTTGGGCCATACTTTGGGCTGTTGGTGGCCTCTTGGGCCGTCGTGTGGCATCTTGGGTCATTGTGTGGCATATTAAGCCATATTTTGGGCTGTTGGTGACAATTTGGGCTGTCGTGTAGCATCTTGGGCCATTGGGTCCTACTTTGTGATGTTGGGTGGCATCTTGGGCCATACTTTGGGCTGTTGGGTGGCATCTTGGCCTTTGATAACCATACGGGGGTACAAATCCTGGGCATTATTCTTCAAGCTGTTAACTGTAACCATTTGTCGGTTCCTACAGGTTCTGTTTCGGACAGTGATGTTGGCAGCACCTCTGGCATGGACTCTGGCCATTGCACGGAAGGAGCAGCCAGTGATACCGCAGATCCGACCTCGAATCCACCTGCAGCGCCTGATCATCCCGATGGGGCCAGATCGACCCAGCGGTCCCGAGCGGCCAGTCCCGACCCCCTCCACAACACCGGAGGCTGGATACTGGTGCGTGGAGGGTGTGTAACGGGGACATACAGGGCTCCACACACACACACACACACACACACACACACACACACACACACACACACACACACGCACGCACAAGTGCACTTGCACGTGCAGGCACGCAGTAGTAACTCCTCCGTATTAATAGTGTCATATGTGGGAGATGGGGTAGATTTGTCATCGTGCCCAAATTAAATTCCCGGACAAATATATTGGAAGCTTCTAACGTGTTGGAGAGACTATAAATGGGGAGAGCTATGGGTGTATAAATTCGGAGAGAGTTATGGATGTATAAGTGAAAAGCAGAAAAGCACTTTATATGTGTGAATGGGAAGAGAGGAGTGCACGCTGGGCGGCCCTGCGAGCGAGGGTGCACACTGGGCGGCCATGCAAGTGAGGGTGCACGCTGGGCGGCCCTGCGAGCGAGGGTACACACTGGGCGGCCATGCAAGTGAGGGTGCACGCTGGGCGGCCCTGCGAGTGAGGGTGCACGCTGGGCGGCCCTGCGAGCGAGGGTGCACGCTGGGCGGCCCTGCGAGCGAGGGTGCACGCTGGGCGGCCCTGCGAGCGAGGGTGCACACTGGGCGGCCATGCAAGTGAGGGTGCACACTGGGCGGCCCTGCGAGCAAGGGTGCACACTGGGCGGCCCTGCAAGTGAGGGGTGCACACTGGGCGGCCCTGCGAGCGAGGGTACACACTGGGCGGCCATGCAAGTGAGGGTGCACGCTGGGCGGCCCTGCGAGTGAGGGTGCACACTGGGCGGCCATGCAAGTGAGGGTGCACACTGGGCGGCCATGCAAGTGAGGGTGCACGCTGGGCGGCCCTGCGAGCGAGGGTACACACTGGGCGGCCATGCAAGTGAGGGTGCACGCTGGGCGGCCCTGCGAGTGAGGGTGCACGCTGGGCGGCCCTGCGAGCGAGGGTGCACGCTGGGCGGCCCTGCGAGCGAGGGTGCACGCTGGGCGGCCCTGCAAGCGAGGGTGCACACTGGGCGGCCATGCAAGTGAGGGTGCACACTGGGCGGCCCTGCGAGCAAGGGTGCACACTGGGCGGCCCTGCAAGTGAGGGGTGCACACTGGGCGGCCCTGCGAGCAAGGGTGCACACTGGGCGGCCATGCAAGTGAGGGGTGCACACTGGGCGGCCCTGCGAGCAAGGGTGCACACTGGGCGGCCCTGCGAGCGAGGGTGCACACTGGGCGGCCCTGCAAGCGAGGGTGCACGCTGGGCGGCCCTGCGAGCAAGGGTGCACACTGGGCGGCCCTGCGAGCGAGGGTGCACACTGGGCGGCCCTGCAAGCGAGGGTGCACACTGGGCGGCCCTGCGAGCAAGGGTGCACACTGGGCGGCCATGCAAGTGAGGGTGCACACTGGGCGGCCATGCAAGTGAGGGGTGCACACTGGGCGGCCCTGCGAGCGAGGGTGCACACTGGGCGGCCATGCAAGTGAGGGGTGCACACTGGGCGGCCCTGCGAGCAAGGGTGCACACTGGGCGGCCATGCAAGTGAGGGGTGCACACTGGAGGATTGTTGTGGGAGCAAGGGCATGCACTGGGTGCGAGCCTTAAAATTATAGATGTGGTAAATAATGGATCTAGTTCATCTTTTGACAAGAACTGTACAAGATGTAACTTTGCTTAGTGTGTGTGAAAAACATCTTGCTGTATTACTTTTTCCACAGGTTGGTCGTGAAGGCGAGATTGAGCCTGTGGCCGTGCGCGCTGTAGCGGTAAACGAGTGGGACATAGTGCATCAGCGGGAGCTGGGCGAGCACCGTCCCGAAGCTCTCGTCCAGGCCGTTGATACGCTGGCGTTCCTGGTCCGCGACAGACGAATTACTCACTCGAGTCTGCCGTGTGCCGTGCAGGCGTGTCGCACCTTCGTTGAAGCTACGCTGAATGGAGGTACAGTAACTGTATTTGTGTATGTGTAATTACCTAAGTGTAGTTACAGGATGAGAGCTACGCTCATGGTGTCCCGTCTTCCCAGTACTAATGTCATATAACGCTTTGAAACTACTGACGGTCTTGGCCTCCACCACCTTCTCCCCTAACTTGTTCCAACCATCTACCACTCTGTTTGCGAAAGTGAATTTTCTTATATTTCTTCGGCATCTGTGTTTAGCTATTTTAAATCTATGACCTCTTGTTCTTGAAGTTCCAGGTCTCAGGAAATCTTCCCTATCGATTTTATCAATTCCTGTTACTATTTTGTACGTAGTGATCATATCACCTCTTTTTCTTCTGTCTTCTAGTTTTGGCATATTTAATGCCTCTAACCTCTCCTCGTAGCTCTTGCCCTTCAGTTTTGGGAGCCACTTAGTAGCATGTCTTTGCACCTTTTTCCAGTTTGTTGATGTACTCCTTAAGATATGGACACCACACAACCGCTGCATATTCTAGCTTTGGCCTAACAAAAGTCGTGAACAATTTCTTTAGTATATCGCCATCCATGTATTTAAAAGCAATTCTGAAGTTAGAAAGCGTGGCATAGGCTCCTCACACAACGTTCTTTATGTGGTGCTCATGTGATAGTTTTCTATCTAGAACCATCCTTAGATCTCTATCAGAATTCTTTAAAGATTTCTCACATAATATATAAGTTGTGTGGGCTCTATGGCCTCCTATTCCACATTCCTTACACATTCTCCTATTCCACATACACACACACACGCGCGCGCACGTGTGTGTGTGTCTCTGTCTCTTCCTCTGTCTCTGTCTCTTCCTCTGTCTCTGTCTCTCTCTCTGTCTCTCTCTCTCTCTGTCTGTCTCTCTCTCGTGCTCACTGTAACATTTTAATTGTTTAAGTACACGTTGTCAGCGTATTCAAATATTTATTTGTAGTTACATAGTTAATTAAAGGGTGTTAAAAACCTTGCCTACAGATATGAAGAAAGGCGCACACTCGTCAATTTCATTATATAACTTAAGAATATCCATTGTTTTACAGTACTGTAATAGGTTATGTATTTTGTAGCAGTGAGATACAATACAACTTTGTACTTGAAGTATACAACAGATGTAATTCCCATTGATGGGGACACACAGCCGTGTGTGTGTGTGTTTATGTATATATATATATATATGTTTACAGTATGTGCTTTAGACTTGTATCAAGGTCCCAGTAAGGTCGAACTACCAACCCTTCCCAGGATGTAACCACAACAGTCTCCTACCTTCCGGATACCTATTTGCTGCTAGGTGAACAGAGGCATTAGATGATAGGAAATGTGCCCAGCCATTTCTGCTCTGCCTAGGAATTGAACCCTGCATTCCCTGATTGCAAGTCTGACACTGTCTATTGCTTTGAGATTGACAGTGGCTGGCAGGGTAGCACGTCTAAATTATGGTACTTTAGTGATGGTCAAAGCAGTGTTGTTTTGATGCTTTTGGGAAATGAGCATCATTCCCTCGTTCCCAACAAGGAGCATCAATAAGCATCAAACTGATTCAAATTCAACGCTTGTTGAATTGCAAAAATGGGCTGGTGTATCATTGCTCTTTACTCGTACCAAAAAACTTTTTGATTTTTCAGGCAGGACAGAAAAGCGAGTTTCAATTAAGGAGAGTGTCCGGTCACCTTTGCGGAGAAAAGCAGTGGGACGACGAAAGGAAGAAAAGTCGAGCTCGCGCAGACCTAAATCCCCCAGCACAGGACCAAATGCATATGATGCAGATGAATCGGACTCTGACGACGTGCCGATGACATACCAGCAGGTGTCGGAGAAGGTAAGGAAACGTATAGTGCAGTTTGGTATGGCATTATTGCAGTGGCGGAGATGTACACAAGGAAAATAATCAAACTGTGTACCACCTACACTCTCCACACACACACACACACACACACACACACATGCCCTTCCTCCCCCTAAAAATAATACACATGCACATGGCTGAGGGCCATAGGGTTAACACCACTGCAAACTAGACATGACAGGGCTCATCTCATTGAAACTCAAAATACAGTACTGAGACATTTGGAGAACATTGATCCAGACCACTTCTTGAAAAGGTAAACTGTAACACAAACAAGGAGCAACGGTTTCAAGCTCAACAAGCCACAATGCAGGATAGAAAACAGATGCTTCTTCACCCACGGAACTGCCTACCCATCGAAGCTGTAAATGCCAAGACATAACGGCAATTCAGCATTTAACTATACATTACCATCAGGACAAATTGAGAACCTTTGACAAGTGGCTGGCATCCTGTCCTCTTTGAGGCCACTAGAGATATAGCAGCCCTCATGTAAATGCCACTGAATAACATACCTGGGGGCCAGATTCGTGAAGCAGTTATGCAAGCACTTACGAACCTGAACATCTTTTCTCAATCTAAGGTGGCTTTGTTCTTAATTATTAAACAGTTAATGAGCTCTGAAGCACAAGGAGGCTGTTTATAACAATGACAACAGTTGATTGGGAAGTTTTCATGCTTGTAAACCGTTTACTAAATGTAACCAAAGCCGTCAAAGATTGAGGAAAGATGTTCACGTTCGTAAGTACTTGCATAACGACTTCGTGAATCTGGCCCCCTGGTCCCAGTGCCTTTGCCCCTGGCGTAAATGCCAACCTAATGCGTAACAAGAGACAGATACAAATAGCTGATGTGGCTGCAGACTTGTGGCAGGTTATATTGCAGATGTTGTGGAACTTCCTCAAGTGGAACCCACTCTACAGGTGACCACACCACCTTCGGGTGTTGTCTACAGGTGACCACACCACCTTCGGGTGTTGCCTACAGGTGACCACACCACCTTCGGGTGTTGCCTACAGGTGACCACACCACCTTCGGGTGTTGTCTACAGGTGACCACACCACCTTCGGGTGTTGTCTACAGGTGACCACACCACCTTCGGGTGTTGTCTACAGGTGACCACACTACCTTCGGGTGTTGTCTACAGGTGACCACACCACCTTCAGGTGTTGCCTACAGGTGTCTACAGGTGACCACACCACCTTCGGGTGTTGTCTACAGGTGACCACACTACCTTCGGGTGTTGTCTACAGGTGACCACACCACCTTCAGGTGTTGCCTACAGGTGTCTACAGGTGACCACACCACCTTCGGGTGTTGTCTACAGGTGACCACACCACCTTCGGGTGTTTATAGATAATTTAGTAGTACTGTGCATTTATTCCTAACAAATGTAAGGAAAATATGGACATCGTAGTATAAGGTAGCTTATAGGCCTAGGGACATGATACTGCATTTTTAACAGCTCATTGTCAAGTGTCATGCAGTTGAGGCTGTTATTGTCTTCACCAACATTGAAGAGTGTGTGTGTATGCGGGTAATTACCTAAGTGTAGTTACAGGATGAGAGCTACGCTCTTGGTGTCCCGTCTTCCCAGCACTCTTTGTCATATAACGCTTTGAAACTACTGACAGTCTTGGCCTCCACCACCTTGTTCTAACCTAACTTGTTCCAACCGTCTACCACTCTGTTTGCGAAAGTGAATTTTCTTATTTTTGTGTGTGTGTGTGTGTATTCACCTAGTTGTGCTTGCGGGGGTTGAGCTTTGGCTCTTTGGTCCCGCCTCTAAACTGTCAATCAACTGGTGTACTCAGATTCCTGAGCCTACTGGGCTCTATCATATCTACATTTAAAATTGTGTATGGAGTCAGCCTCCACCACATCACTGCCTAATGCATTCCATCTGTTAACTACTCTGACACTGAAAAAGTTCCTTAAAACGTCCCTGTGGCTCATGTGGGTACTCAGTTTCCAATTGTGTCCCCTTGTTCGCATACCACCAGTGTTGAATAGTTTATCCTTGTTTACCCAGTCGATTCCCCTGAGGATTTTGTAGGTTGTGATCGTGTCCCCCCTTACTCTTCTGTCTTCCAGTGTCATAAGGTGCATTTCCCGCAGCCTTTCCTTGTAACTCATGCCTCTTGGTTCTGGGATTAGTCTAGTAGCATACTTTTGGACTTTTTCCAGCTTCGTCTTGTGCTTGACAAGGTACGGGCTCCATGCTGGGGCCGCATACTCCAGGATTGGTCTTACATATGTGGTGTACAAGATTCTGAATGATTCCTTACACAGGTTCCTGAAGGCTGTTCTGATGTTAGCCAGCCTCGCATATGCCGCAGACGTTATTCTTTTTATGTGGGCTTCAGGAGACAGGTTTGGTGTGATATCAACTCCTAGATCTTTCTCTCTGTCTGTTTCATTAAGTACTTCATCTCCTATTCTGTATCGTGTGTCTGGCCTCCTGTTTCCACTGCCTAGTTTCATTTGCATTTACTTGGGTTGAACTTCAACAGCCATTTGTTGGACCATTCACTCAGTCTGTCTAGGTCATCTTGTAGCCTCCTACTATCATCCTCTGTTTCAATCCTCCTCATAATTTTTGCATCATCGGCAAACATTGAGAGAAACGAGTCTATACCCTCTGGGAGATCATTTACATATATCGGAAACTGTATAGGTCCAAGGACTGACCCTGCGGGACTCCACTTGTAACGTCTCGCCAATCTGAGACCTCATCCCTCACAGTGACTCGTTGTCTCCTGTTGCTTAGGTACTCCTTTATCCAATGGAGAACCTTCCCTTTCACTCCAGCCTGCATCTCCAGCTTTTTCACTAGCCTCTTGTGTGGTACTGTATCAAAGGCTTTCTGACAATCCAAAAATATGCAGTCTGTCCACCCTTCTCTTTCTTGCCTTATTTTTGTTGCCTGGTCGTAGAATTCAAGTGAAAATCCTGTGAGGCAGGACCTGCCATCCCTGAACCCATGTTGATGCTGTGTTACAAAGTTCCTTCGCTCCAGATGCTCCACTAGCTTTCTTCGCACAATCTTCTCCATCAGCTTGCATGGTATGCAGGTTAGGGACACTGGCCTGTAGTTCAGTGCCTCCTGTCTATCCCCTTTTTTGTATATCGGGACTACGTTAGCTGCTTTCCAAATATCTGGCGTGTGTGTGTATGTGCGTGCGCACACGTGAGTACTAGTACTGGGCTGTGGTGGATGAGGATCTGCGGGCCGCTCCAAGAAGCAGCCTGTTGGTCCAAGCTCTCGCAAATCAAGCGTGGCTTTGAGCCTGGCATGAGGAGTAGAACTACTCCCAGAACCCCATCAAGCAGGTATATATGTTATGTATGCACAAAGGTTGACATTGCCAACCCCTATAGAGATGGTGGTAGCAATGTAATATCTACAATGAGTGCTCATAGCTTGCTAGCTTCAAAATGTTATTCTTTGCAGAGAGCCTGTCACAGTAACATCTTTGAAAATTGAATCTCATTTAAATTCATCCTGGAATCGAGTGTCACAGCATCTTATATTTCTTTACACCTATTTAAATTTTTGTCCCATCACCTTTGATTTGGTCTCTTAATTTCAACGTTAATTTTCTTTTTAGCCATGCAATATGTACGTTAATCTCGGTGAAAGACGTCGGCTAATCCCACTTTCCCTGCAGCTTCTGGACCTGATGGACACACTGCACACCGCATCCAGTCACATTGTGGGATTGGGGGAACAGCCGCTGCCGCAGGTCTCGACACCGTCACTCTGGCCCCAGGCACTCTGTCCTCTGCTCCAGGGCATCGCCCGCTACTGCTGCGACTCTCGCACCACTGTGAGTGCCAGTCTTATGTCTTGGTGTTCTTTTACTGAAATTATCGTTTATACTTCAATGACAATGGTCTCGTTTTTGTACTTTCCTTCCCTGAAAGTTAGATTGTACACCATTACTGGTGCCAGGGGGGGGTGTTCACCATCACTGGTGCCAGGGGGGGGAGGGTGTACACCATCACTGGTGCCAGGGGGGGAGGGTGTACACCATCACTGGTGCCAGGGGGGGGGAGGGTGTACACCATCACTGGTGCCAGTGGGGGGGAGGGTGTACACCATCACTGGTGCCAGGGGGGGGAGGGTGTACACCATCACTGGTGCCAGGGGGGAGGGTGTACACCATCACTGGTGCCAGGGGGGGAGGGTGTACACCATCACTGGTGCCAGGGGGGGAGGGTGTACACCATCACTGGTGCCAGGGGGGGGGGGTGGTTGTACACCATCACTGGTGCAAGGGGGGGTGGTTGTACACCATCACTGGTGCCAGGGGGGGGAGGGTGTACACCATTACTGGTGCCAGGGGGGGAGGGTGTACACCATCACTGGTGCCAGGGGGGGGGTGGTTGTACACCATCACTGGTGCAAGGGGGGGTGGTTGTACACCATCACTGGTGCCAGGGGGGGGAGGGTGTACACCATTACTGGTGCCAGGGGGGGAGGGTGTACACCATCACTGGTGCCAGGGGGGGAGGGTGTACACCATCACTGGTGCCAGGGGGGGGAGGGTGTACACCATCACTGGTGCCAGGGGGGGAGGGTGTACACCATCACTGGTGCCAGGGGGGGAGGGTGTACACCATCACTGGTGCCAGGGGGGGTGGTTGTACACCATCACTGGTGCCAGGGGGGGTGGTTGTACACCATCACTGGTGCAAGGGGGGAGGGTGTACACCATCACTGGTGCCCGGGGGGGGAGGAGGGTGTACACCATCACTGGTGCCAGGGGGGGGGAGGGTGTACACCATCACTGGTGCCAGGGGGGGGGAGGGTGTACACCATCACTGGTGCCAGGGGGGGGAGGGTGTACACCATCACTGGTGCCAGAGATAGGACTGCACATCATCCATGGTGTCAGGAATAGAATTCTGACATCCAGGCATTTTATTTTGGAATAACAAAAATTAAAATAAAAGGATTTTATTTTGTTGCCATCTAGTCATTGTGATGTACAGTATTGCAGTTTAAAGCCAATTAAAAGCACTAGTGGAGCGACTGTGTGTGTGTGTTTAATCACTGAACCAAAATACAATGTCAAAGTACCAGGAATAAGGCTGATAAATAAATAAATGAAGATTAATAAAGTTTTCGACCGGTCAGCAGAAAAAAACATGATGTTTAACAGTGATAAATTCCAGGTACTCAGATACGGTAAAAATAAGAACCTTAAACATAATACAGGTTACAAAACACAATCAAATTTGCCTATAGTAGGAAAGCAACATATAAAGGATTTGGGAATAATGATGTTTGACGACCTAACGTTTAGGGAACATAACCAAGCAAATATTGCATCAGCCAGAAAAATGATAGGATGGATTACGAGAACTTTCAAATCCAGGGATTCCATCACAATGGTTGTACTGTTCAAGTCACTTGTGTTGTCCCGTTTCGAGTACTGCTCAGTACTCACTTTCCCCTTCAGAGCAGGAGAGATTGCAGAAATAGAGGGAATACAGAGAATATATATGGCATACATAGACACGATAAAGCACCTAAATTATTGGATCATCTAAAAGCCCTCGAAATGTACTCGCTAGAAAGACAACGAGAGAGATATCAAATAATATACACATGGAAAATACTGGAGGGCCAGGTCCTAAATTTACACAGTAAAATAACAACGTACTGGAGTGAACGATATGGTAGAAGATGCAGAATAGAACCAGTGAAGAGTGGAGGTGCCATAGGCACAATCAGAGAACACTGTATAAACATCAGAGGTCCGCGGTTGTTCAACATCCTCCCAGCAAACATCAGAAATATTGCCGGAACAACAACATTGCCGGAGCTGTGGTGGATATGTGGCCCAGCGGGCCGCTCCAAGCAACAGCCTGGTGGACCAAGCTCTCACAAGTCAAGCCTGACCTTGGGCCGGGCTTGTGGAGTAGAAGAACTCCCAGAACCCCATCAACCAGGTATCAAGCAGGTACCACCAACAAATTTTCTAGTGATTTTGGTACAATAGACCTTTTAAGAAGAAATTTTGTAATCCTCAAATTGCCGAGCTATTTAAAAGTACAGTACTACATCGGCATGTGCACGTTTTGAAATAGGTAACATATTAAGTGGGGAAAAGTTGCATGTGGCAACTGGAGCAGTATAAGGGCTAAAGACTTGCTCCAGTGAAAGCTACCAGAGAGAAAAAAAAATGGAAATTCTATTTTGTGGGAGATGCTTCTGTTGCTACTTTTTTTTTTTTTTTTTTTTTTTTTTTTTTTTTTTTTTTTTTTTTTTTTTTGAGATATATACAAGAGTTGTTACATTCATGTACAGCCACTAGTACGCGTAGCGTTTCGGGCAAGTCCTTAATCCTATGGTCCCTGGAATACGATCCCCGCCGCGAAGAATCGTTTTTTCATCCAAGTACACATTTTACTGTTGCGTTAAACAGAGGCTACAGTTAAGGAATTGCGCCCAGTAAATCCTCCCCGGCCAGGATACGAACCCATGACATAGCGCTCGCGGAACGCCAGGCGAGTGTCTTACCACTACACCACGGAGACTGTACGACCATTCAACCATTCCGAGACCATTCAACCTGGGCTCCAGTCTGTTTGCTCTCCAAGTTTCTGGAGGGTGTAAGGGTTTCATTAATTTGAGAATTTGGAAAATGTTTTGGTTTGAAGTTGGAAACTATTTACATTGATTGCACAGATTTAGAGAATTGTTTATGCCTGAACATAGGGAATATTCTCAACACACACAGAAGTCACACTAGCGTGACATATCAAATGAACACATCATTTGTTCGTTCCCAGATCCCAGACTAAGGCGCGTCTGGGATCATCCCGTGCGTAGGTTCAAACCCTCATCACGGCCCTTGTGGATTTGTTCATAGGGAATATTGTTTTATTAAATTTTAGCCAAATTTTTTTCTCACATTTTCCCGTCAGGTCCGCAACATGGCGATGACGTACCTGCAGCGGGCCCTACTGAACCACGACTTGCAAGCCCTGAGTGCTAGCGAGTGGGAGTCATGCTTCAACAAGGTGCTCTTCCCGTTGCTAGCCAAGCTGCTGCAGCCCCTTCCCGGCTCCAGCCCCGCCTCCCTGGAGGAGACGCGAGTCAGAGCCGCCACGCTGGTGCAGAAGGTGAGTGCTGGTGGGGCTCGAGTTGCAAACACAGTCCTAGGAGTGTTAAGGTGTGTGACTGGCATACCCGAGGGCATGCCGTGTGTGTGAGTGGCATATCTGAGGGCATGCCCTGTGTGTGACTGGCATATCTGAGGGCATACCCTGTGTGTGACTGGCATACCTGAGGGCATACCCTGTGTGTGACTGGCATAGCCGATGGAGTGAACGCACACATCAGGGCTATTAGATGATGCAAATCTAAAAACAAAAACAAATGTAGAGGAAGACTGTAGTATGCCATAGAAAGACCCTCGGAAACTTGGAGATGGCCAGACAAATGGTGGTTAGAGTTCAAGTCCATTAAGTGTATGGTAATGACAGTGGGAAAGGATTACAGGAGAAATGAATGAATCTGCACCCTAAGACAAACGCAACTTTGGAATTGTTAGAGAGATTGACTAGTGAATGAATACAATTGAATGTTTCTCTGCCTGTTTACCCCATGTGAAACCCTTGATATATTATTTGTGCCTGAATGAACCTTTCGTAACAATTATGTAATACCTGTACAGTGTGTGTATGTGTATTTATTAATCTCAAATATGTATTTATTAATCGCAAAAAAATCAATCATATCGGTAAACACAAAATAAAAATTTACGATGTTTAAGGAGTGTAAGATAAAAGAACAAATATGTGGGTCAAGACAATGTTATTTTTTAAGCCAATTTAGGTAATGAAATTTGCTTCTCTATTGTGAAACCCGAGCTTGTCTTTTGGTACACAAATTGTTAATTCCGGGTGTCGGAGCTGAGATAAGCACACACACGCATTTCATTATCAACTGACAGGAGACGATTTATGTCTTTGCTCTTGATACTGGTTAAATGTGAAAAAGCTTACTGACACGTGTAAGACATTGCAAATTGCAGCACTGTATTTATTGCTCTCCTATGAATGGCAGGATGATAATCCTTCTCTGAAATCTAGACCTTAACTGGGGAATAGGTCCCAGGTACAGGGCGTACCTGTATAGGTACAGGGGGGCCTGACAGCTGGGTGGACAGCGTTTCGGATTCGTAGTCCTGAGGTTCCGGGTTCGATCCCCGGTGGAGGCGGAAACAAATGGGCAGTGTTTCTTTCACCCTGATGCCTATGTTACCTAGCAGTAAATAGGTATCTGGGAGTTAGAGAGCTGCTAGGGCTGCTTCCTGTGGGTGTGTGTAACAAAAAGGTCTGGTCGAGGACCAGACCACGGGGACGCTCAGCCCCGAAATCGTCTCGCGATAACCTCAAGATAGGTCAGTGAATCTCATCTTGAGAGAGTGATTCTATTTGCATATGATAAGCATTAACCCATTTATCTCACTCTCTTGCAGAAACCGTGGTGGGCGACCTCTCGCAGAGCCCGGGGGTTTCGTTGAACCCCAGTTGAGAAACACTGGTCTAGATTGTATTAAGAGGAATGCATCCTTGTGTAAAATTGTGATTCTACTGGAATATATATGTCTGAATTTACCAGAGGGCCACCATATCTAGTGACCTCGACAGGAACAGGAAGTCGTCGTCTTGTCATAGGAGTGTGTGATGAAGAAATTTTGTCTTTAAACATTTCTAATATTCTGTGTTTATTTTCGTAACGTGTAGGTTTACCTGCGGCACTTGACGCCTCTCCTGACGCTGCCCACCTTCACAGCTCTCTGGTTGACTATCCTGGACTTCATGGACAGATACCTAAACACCCATCGTTCGGATCATTTGGTGAGCGAGGTCACCGTAAGTGCATGATCCCTGCATGGTATTTTGGTTAAGTTTAAGATGACATTCTTGTTTGATTATAGTCTTAGTTGTTGTGAAAGGTCTGTCACCAAGGAATGTGTTCGTGTGCTGGATTCCCCAATGTCACTGACAGGACGCCTATTACACTTGTAAAAAGAACAGCCTGATGGAACAAAACCATCTTGGGGCACTGAGGATATTTCCTGGGTACAGTGGAGTGGAAGCAAAGGGAGAAGGGCACACAATAGCACAGCTGGAATCCCAAACCGAAGCACCACCGAGACAAGCCCGATGTAATGAGTACCTTACCTTGAGGTGTTTCCGGGGCTCAGCGACCCCGCGGCCCGGTCATCGACCAGACCTCGTTGCTGGACTGGTCTGGTCAACCAGACTGTTGGACGCGGCTGCTCGCAGCCTGACGTATGAGTCAGCCTGGTTGATCAGGTATCCTTTGGAGGTGTTTGTCAAGTTCTCTTGAACACTGTGAGGGGTCGGCCAGTTATGCCCCTTATGTGTAGTGGAAGCGTGTTGAACAATCTCGGGCCTCTGATGTTGATAGAGTTCTCTCTCAGAGTACCTGTTGCACCTCTGCTCTTCAACGGGGGTATTTTGCACATCCTGCCATGCCTTCTGGTCTCATGTGCTGTGATTTCTGTGTGCAGGTTTGGGACCAGCCCCTCTACTATTTTCCATGTGTAAATTATTATGTATCTCTCCCGCCTGCGCTCAAGAGAATACAAATTTAGGCTCTTTAGTTGGTCCCAATAGTTTAGATGTTTTACTGAGTGGATTCAAGCAGTAAAGGATCTCTGCACGCTCTTCAGGTCAGCAATTTCTCCAGCTTTGAAAGGGGCTGTCATTGTGCAGCAGTATTCCACTCTAGAGAGCACTAGCGTCTTGAAAAGTATCATCATTGGTATAGCATCTCTAGTGTGAAAGGTTCTTGTTATCCAACCTGTCATTTTTCTTGCAGTTGTGACAGCTACTTTTATTGTCTTCTTTAAATGTAAGGTCTTCTGACATCAGAACACCCAAATCCTTTACATTGCCTTTCCGTTCTATATTATGATTTGACTTAGTTTTGTACGTGGTTTCCGTTTTTATACAATATTTTCATTTTTTCCGTAGCGCATGAGCTGAAACTTAACTTCGTTAAACACCATATTATTTTCTGTAGCCCATAGAAAGACCTGATCTACATTTGATTGGAGGTTTGCCGTGTCCTCTATGTTTCTACTCTCATAAAAATCCTAGTGTCATCTACAAAGGATGATACAGTACTATAGGTTGTGTCTTTGTCTATGTCCAATAAGAGGATTAGAAAAAGTACTGGAGCAAGCACAGTACCCTGGGAGACTGAGCTCTTTACGGTTGATGAACCGGATTTTATTTTGTTGACTATTACACATTGGGTTCTATTAGTCAGGAAATTGTAGATCCATCTGCCTATTTTTCCGGTAATTCCTTTTGAATGCATTTTATGTGCAATAACCCCATGGTCACATTTGTCAAAGGCTTTTGCGAAATCTGTGTAAATTACATCAGCGTTTTGTTTGTCTTCCATGGCATCTAGTGCCATATCATAGTGGTCCAGCAACTGTGATAGGCAAGAGCACCCTGTTCTGAAACCATGTTGTCCAGGGTTATGGAGATGCTATGATTCCATGTATTTTGTGATCTTACTTCTCAGCACTCTCTCGAAGATTTTTATGATGTGCGATGTTAGTGCTATTGGTCTGTAATTTTTTGCCTCTGCCTTATTTCCTCCTTTATGGAGTGGTGCTCTCTCTGCTGTTTTTAATATGTAAGGGATATTGCCAGTATCTAGGCTTTGTCCCCAAAGAATGTGAAGGGCCTGCGATAGCGGTTTTTTACAGTTCTTGATGAATATAGAGTTTGAAGAATCAGGGCCTGGTGCAGAGTGTATAGGCATACTGTCTATGGCTTCTTCAAAATCCAGTGGGGATAGGGTGACATCTGATATATGGTTTGATGTTGGTATTACTGGTATATCCATGAAAAATTCATTTGGGTTATCGATCTTCAGTGTGTGTATTGGCTCGCTGAGAATAGTCATACTGATTCTTCAGTTTTTCGCTCATTTCTTTGTTGTCATCAGTGAAAGTTTCATCTCCCTTTCGCAGGGGCCCGATACTGGGTGTAGTTTTCTATCTTGAATTTGCATAGGAAAAAAATATTTCAGATTTCTCTCTATTTCACTGATGGCCTTTTGCTCTCTTTGCCACTCCTGGGTTTTGTATGATTCTTGTAGCTTTAGTTCAATTGTTTCTATTTCTCTACCTAACCTTCTTCGCCGTTCTTGAGATAGGGTGCGACTTTCAAGTTGTTCTGCAATTCATTTTCTTCGCCTATAGAGGGAACGACGTTCCCGTTGCTCTATCATATCTACATTTGAAACTGTGTATGGAGTCAGCCTCCACCACATCACTGCCTAGTGCATTCCATTTATTAACTACTCTGACACTGAAAAAATTCTTTCTAACGTCTCTGTGGCTCATCTGGGTACTAAGTTTCTACCTGTGTCCCCTTGTTCATGGCCCACCGGTGCTGAACAGTTTGTCTTTGTCCACCCTGTCAATTTCCCTGAGAATTTTGTAGGTGGTTATCATGTCTCCCCTTACTCTTCTGTTTTCCAGGAACGTGAGGTTCAGCTCCTTTAGCTTTTCCTCGTAGCTCATACCTCTCAGTTCCGGGATGAGCCTGGTGTGTGTGTGTGTGTGTGTGTGTGTTTTTGTAATCTGGTCTCAGGCCAGGTCTCCTGTTTGGCAGTCTGCTCAACCAGACTGTGCATGGAGCTGCTGCTACTTGCAGTCAAACTTACAAAAAACAAGTTGATCAGGTATCTTTGGAGGTGTTTGGTTGTTCTCTTTTTAAACGCTCTGAAAGGGGGATTAATCCTGAAAGTGAAGCCAGGCTTCCATGCATAGGAGTTAAGTATAACAAAATGTGAAATGTATGCTGTTAGAACATACTCTGCACTATCTGGGAGCCTTCGGAAAACCCATTTGGGGGTTTCCAGATAAGTGAACTTCTCGGAAATGACGAATACAAGGCCACAAACCCCAAATTCAATCCCTTGAGGCAGCATCGGTGAAGCAAAATTGTATCGGAAACAAGGTGATGTTACACAATGAAATTGTATGACTGATGCATATGAGAAAATATTAGAGGGCATATAATACAATCCAACCCACGAGGGCCTGAAGAATCCAAAGGAGATAATTGTAACGAACGTGCACTGTATTTTGTTTTTGTAGCTGCATACTGTCAGCCAATCTTTCCACATTTCTTTTGCAGCTGTTTTCATGTGTGTACGTACCAGAACTGTTACATTCCTCTGGCTTTTATTACTAGAATTTTTTTTTTCTGGGGGTGGGGGAGCTTCGTCAGCTCCCCAGAGCTATCCAGACTGATATGGATATACAAAGTATTAGCTTTCTGGCATCGATCAATGTGCATGGAGTTCTTGCCTACTGGGGACTAAAAGCCAGAACCTGGCACCCTCAGAGAGGCACGAGTAGCAATGTCCTGTAGAAACCCCCTCGTGTGGTTGGGAGCATTCTGTGTCTGTAATCAACCGGGTCTGGCACCCAGAAAGGTAGGCGCCCCAAAACAAACCCTTATTCAGGTGAAAATATTGCTACCGAAAGCCGAAAGAGTCGACAGCACTCCCCAAACGAAACTTGGCAAACGAGCATGACGTCATCACGTTGCTCTTAACACTTTCGCGCTATCTGGATCTGGACGCGCCGGCGCGTCCCGTTTCGTCTAACGCTAACGCATAGTGGACATAAAGTTGAGTCCTCTTTTAAAATATTTGTATAAAATTCAATTTTTATCCGATTTACTTTGGGTTTGTTTCAAACTGCGCGCTATGAGGCTCTCTTTCTCACCACTAGGCTGCATGGTACAATAAGTTCATGAAAGGTGTGGATAACTTCGATCAAATGGTATTTTGTCCCAAACGGGTTGCAGGTGGGTGACTTTAGCCGTTTATACTGGTAATGCTTCCCCCATATCATGTATTATATGCATATGTCTGTTTAGGGAATTTTATTCCGATCAATATACAACCAAAAATAACTGTGTGCAACAAGTATAAACTTGACAAACATAACAAAAGTAAAAACATTTCGTGTGTGTTTGACGCTCACTGATATGTTCCAGCGTTGTTTTATATTTGGCGCTATTCTAACTTACGCTTTGTTGATATTTTTTACCTATGGGCACATAGAACATTCTATTGCGAACACATTGACACAAAAATGAATGACGTACATAGAAAATTAATGTCATGAGAGTGAAATAAGTATAAACTTTCAAAGCGCCGTGCGTCGTCCCGTCACCGATACCGGGTAACAATTTCACCACTTCCCACACTCTTGCGGGCGGGCCGCATCATTATTCTACGCTTATATTCATATCACCGTGTTGGGAATTTCATTGCGAGTCCATTGATACCAAAATTAACGCTGTAGAATAAGTGTGGAGGTGATTACAATCCCAAGAGTAAAAACATTTTGTTGCTGATGGGCGCTCACGGCGAGTCATCTTCGTAGTTATTTATTTGGTGCTGGTATCCCTATACGTTTCGTGACTTTTTTTACTGATGTTCTTCTAGAGAATTTTATTGCGAACACGTTGGTACCAAAATGAAATACGTAGCATGAGAACTAAGGTCAGAAGAGTAAAAAGAGTATACACATTTTTGTTTTTACGCTTAAGCGATAAAAACGCCGCGCGCACATTCGGTTGGCTGAGTGACCTTCGCGGAAAGCGCGAAAGTGTTAATCATTATTCCAATCCAAAATTTCAGAGGTAATGAAAGTTTTCAGAGTATATCACTGAAATTAGTGATGTAGCAAAAGTGTTGTATATCTACACTGCATTCAGTCGAGCCGTATGTTTACCCTAAACAAGAAAAATTCAAATTAACATGCCAGTGATGGGCACAATATTGCAGAGCTTAACGTACTGTACTATCGTCCTCATTTGGCTGTGTGATTACATATTCTCATGGATAATTTGACTTGTGTTATTTTTAAGTTTGGATTTCAGAGCATCGTATATTTTACAACCGAAGTAGAGTACAGTATAGTACTATATTTTTGTGTGTTCTCAACTCATTCTCAATTTTCCAACAGAGCGATGCCATTCCCGAGATCTTAAAGAACATGCTGCTGGTGATGGAGACGACTCAGGTCTTTCATACGGCAGATGGCTTCACCCGGCTCTGGACCATTACTTGGGATCGTATTGACGCCTTCCTGCCAGACTTCCGGCACAACCTCTTCCGCAGCCACCCACCGTGTCAGTTTCCTTGCCTCCCAATTTTATTTAACCTTTAATAAAAAATATGTATGTATGTTTTAAAGTATTGCATAAGATTTAAAAGTCCCATGGCTACACAGGATTCACATTAGCTTCCTCAGGGCTCTAGTAAACAGATGCCTTTTTTTTTTTTTTAATTCGTGGGCAACATTCTGAGGTGTGAGGTACTGAGTGAGCCACCAAGGATGGCACACGCAGCATGAGCTCACAGCACTGCTGTTCATCTTGTGACCACAGTATTGCCTAAAAATGACAAAATGTATATGTATCTGGTATTAGCCATATTATTACAGAAAAGCCTGACTGATAAAAACTGTATACAATGTTCAGATACCAGTGAACACAATTCTGTTCATGATCACAGTGCTAGACCGGCAGCCTCAGCACTCGGCCATTGTTTGGTCCATCTAAGCATCTTGAGACGACTTCGCATGTTCCTTTACTAAAAACTTGTGGAAAATTATTCATTTCTAGGATTTAGTGGCCAGGATTCTGATGCTAATTCTTGCCACAATGCTGTTATCAATGTGCATAGTATGGTGGGAGGAGGAATCTTGCCAAGTGAGGCAAGATTTCTTGCCTCCCAACTCCAAATGCTGTATTCTCCCGTGCAAAATAGTTTCTTTGTCCACCCGGTCAATTCCCCTGAAATTTTTTTAGATGGTTATTGTGTCTCCCCTTGCTCTTCTGTCTTCCAGGGATGTGAGGTTTAGTTCCCTTAGCTTTTCCTCGTAGCTCATACCTCTTGGTTCTGGGACTAGTCTGGTGCATACCTCTGAATCTTCTCTAACTTTGTCTTGTGTTTAATTAGGTATGGACTCCTGGCTGGAGCTGCATACTCCAGGATTGGTCTAATGGTCTAACATAAGACCAATGTGTGTGTGTGTAATTACCTAAGTGTAGTTACAGGATGAGAGCTACGCTCGTGGTGTCAGAGTAGTTGACAAATGGAATGCATTAGGCAGTGGTGTGGTGGAGGCTGACTCCATACACAGTTTCAAGTGTAGATATGATAAGAGTCAAGTAGGCTCAGGAATCTGTACACCAGTTGATTGACGGTTGAGAAGCGGGACCAAAGAGCCAGTTTTTTCTATGCGTCTCTTTGACTAATTTTGGCAATCAACTTCCATCTGTGTTCCCTAGTGTGTGTGCCCCTTGAGTTAAGTATCTATCTTTATCTACCCTATCAATTCCTCTGAGAATCTTGTATGTGGTGATCACGTCTCCCCCTAACTCTTCTGTCTTCCAGTGACGTGAGGTTTAATTCCAGTAGTCTCTCCTCGTAGCTCATATCGGTTGAACCGGTCATACTGGTTGGCGGTCGAACAGGATCCTTGGCTGCTCGTTACCTTGTACACGTTCCTGGGCCCTGTCGGACCTGTGTCGCTTTGGGTCTGCGGATGTGGCCTCTTGTCTCAACTTCGGGTTGAGTAGTGTGCGGCGACTGCCTCCCGGGTCTGTCCCTTTTCTTTTCCTCTGTGGGTAGTTAGCTCCGGGGAGCTGTAGGGGCCCCCCCCCCAAAAAAAAAATCCAGCGTTGAATGTAATGAAACACCATTTTCTGGGTGAGTCCCGGAGGCTCCCCGGATTCCCTCCCTCCGCTCAGTGTTTTTTTCGTGTGTTTTGACATCCAGCCTCAGAACTGGGGTGTGGATCACCGGCGTGGTAGGTCTGGGGCTACCCCTTCCCCCTCCCGGGGAGGGGGGAGCTGCGCAGACAGCGACGTGATGACGGGTGACGTCATACTAGTTTGCTCGTTTTTGTTTGGGGAGTTCTATCCACTAGTTCGGCTTTTGGTTGCAATTTTCATCAGAATAGGGGTTTGTTTTGGGATGCCTACCTTTCTGGGTGCCTAACCCAGTCGATGGCAGACATAGAATGCTTCCAACCACACAGGGGTTTCTATAGGCCATTGCTCCCCTTGCCTCTCTAGAAGGGGGCCAGGTTCTGGCTCGTGGTCCCTGGTAGGCCCACAGAACTCTGTACACATGACTGATGCCAAAGTCTGACATTAGCATATCAGCCTGGTAAGCTCCGGGGAGCCTCCGGGACTCGCCCAGAAAATGGCGTTTCATTACATTCAGCGCTGTTTTTTTTTTGTCTTGGGCATGACGGAGAATGGTTCGAAATAATGGCCAAATTGTGCTGGCTAAACGATGTACAAGATTTAACATTGTTATTCTGTGTTGTGCAAACATTGTCAGTGTGAAGAGAATAGTTTTGTAGTTTCCAAATTGATAATCCTCTGTTAAATCAGGAACACCTTACTGAATTTTTGATGGTTTATTACAGCCGAGATCCACAAGATAGAGGTCGTACCATCAGAGTGCTCGACAAAGTCCCCGTTATCTCAGCCGACGATCCCAGATGACACAGGGGTAACTCACATTGTGCAGAGTGCCTCATCAGTACCAGGAACCCCACAGGAATTGTGGCCACCGGCAGCTACTAATACAGCTCCTACCAGTCCTACCTCGGAAATGGAGGCTTTCGTACCTCCCACACTGAGGGAGCAAGAGGCTGCCAGGTAAATAATTCCTTCAAGATGAATCATATTTTTATCACAGTGGAATCTAATTCCTCCGAGATGAATTATATTATTACATATTATATGTTATCATTTTATTAATTCTGCTAGAATTTACCAACTTAAAATTGTCTGTTAGATTAAGGACCTGCCTGAAACGTTGCGCGTACTAGTGGCTTGACAAGAATGTAAATACCATGCTATGTATCCTCACAAACCCAATGTACCTTCTTGTATTTAAATAAATAAATAAATATTTTACTGCAGTGGAATCTATTGAGTGTAGGTCGAATGTGAGAAATGGTTGATAGAGCACGTTCAGTTATATTTGAAAGATTTAGCCACAGTATAAATACGATTAATTTAGTCATCGAGAAATTTTGCGAAATTTCATCGAAGTACCTAACTGGTAACCATCTGAGACACTTGAACTTTCCTTGGAGCACCATTAAGATGTTTAAGTCAAAGGAACAAATCCACAAGGGCTGTAATGAGGGTTCGAACCTACGTCCGAGAGGATCCCAGGCGCGCCTTAATCGACTGTGCCACGACACTGTCAAAAGAATTGCAACCGGGAGTGCTACTGCCCTCACACAGATCTGCAGTCTCTCCGAGACAAAAACCAGGATTTTACACAATTTCCCCATGAACCCGGGCTCTGTCAACAAGTCATTTTCACCCCTTCATATTCATCATTTAACTACCGTTCTGCGCCGAGTTTATTGTGAAATTCACCCGGTGCGCATGAAATAGTGTTCCCCAAAAATTCTTTTTTCTTTGTAAAATTATAAATTCCCTTTCCTGAACATGTCTATGTAAAAATAAATACCAAATTCCACTTACTTTGGCTGTGGGGACGTGGACAAGGTGCGCTGTGACGTCATCAGGGGCTGGTCGCCCGTGCGTGAATCGTCCAGACACGGTCACGCGGCTTATTCAAGCACCGGGTGTTGCCACAAATATATTTTCAATTATTTGTTTTATGTATTTCCAATGCGGTTTTATTTGTTTTTTATCGTATATGATGCATATTTGTGTCCTTTACAATATGTATACAGTAGAACGTTCATAATGTTCCATGGAACTGTGATACATGTGTCAGTAATGTGTCCACAATAAATGTTTATTGTCGCAATATTACCTGTTAAAAATTCACTAAAATTACAATGTACAGTTTCACACACTATTTACACAGTAACACACTGTATTACACACTCTGTACTTCGGAAGTGAGTAATAATCAACGAAGTAGTCCATGGTGCACAGCGCGACTTCGCTCTCAGTGCACCAGGTACAGTACAGATAAATTTTCGCTTCCTGTTTCTTCATTCTGTGTGCTTGTAAATAATGCACTCACATACACCCTTGGCTTTAGTACTTGTAGGCTGTATGTAGCCAAGCTTGTAAAGCATAAGGTAGTATTGAAAAGATTATAGGAAAAGATCAATTTGTAAGGTAGTCTTGAAAAGATCGCTTTCTATGGTCCCACACAGGAAGAGATTCAGCTAGCCTCAAGAGTATTCGGGTATTCTTGAAAATATCTATGGAAAACACCACCATGGAAGCCGCTAACACTGTTCATCTATGCTACTTGTATCAGATGCATCATCACTGAAAGCAGAAAACGATTAATCTATGTATCTAAATAAATTGGAGATAGCATAGGATTGCAAGGGTGATGCTCAAAGCTACAACTGGATACACTCACTGTATCGTCCTCATAGGTGCTGTATCGCTTGCATCTGACCTTTGTGTTAGGTCCTTATTGCCCCTAGCTTCACCAATATTATGACCCTTATGTTCTTCAAACAATAAGGTTTAAATTTCACCGACATAGCGTTATCATTCAACACCACGTCGGATAAGTGTTTGGGAGCCAGAGGCGCGTGCGCCACACATGGTTGCTCATTCAGTACTAACCCATCCAGCAGCCCTAGAGCATTCTGGGAATTTTTTCCAAGATAGCTGCCTCTCACTGGAGGTCCTAAGAGTCCATTTCGTATACAACCAACCTCGTACACATTTAGAATTGGCACCGAAATATCAAAAAGAGTTTTCTCGGTTGGCGCAGTTTCCCGCTGACCGAGAATACTCGGTTGGCGTAGTTAAGTGGTTAAAGATGCATTCGACAGTAGCATGGGTAATAACATTTCAATCATGTGAATCCTTGGAAATGATCACTTTAAGCTATTCTCTGACCATTTAATCTTCAATTGGCACACCTATTTAAAATTGCTACATTGAGATACACAAGTTTAAAAATGGTTAACAAATCATTAGGGGGGGGGGGGGGGGGGGGGAAGTAGCATATAATAATAATAAATTATTTACAAGAAGGTACAATGGGGTTTGTGAGATTACATAAGATAGGTATTTTTACATTCTTGCAAAGCCACTAACACACACACAGCATTTTGGGCAGAATGAGAATTGGATTACGATGATTGCAACCCGTCCTCCTGTTTAGATAGTAACTATTGTGACTTGACCAGACCACACACTAGAAGGTGAAGGGAAGACGACGTTTCGGTCCGTCCTGGACCATTCTCAAGTCGATTCTGGTCGACTTACTTTAGCCACATTATTGTGACAATCGTCAATAATCAGAACTTGTACGTTCTTAACTTTTAGATAGTAGTATACTGACTAGTAAGGAATTGTTTTAAAATAAATGAAGCTAAAACACAAATTTAAATATTCGTAGGCCTAGTATAGCACACAAATGTTCTTTATTAGACCTTAGATATCATGTATTAGGCCTAGGGAGGTTAGGTTAGTTTAGTTTGTCAAAGCAACACCAGTAAAAAATAGTTTTTCCGGTTGTCCAACTCTAAAGATCAGATTTCTACTTTCTAATTTTGTTGTACGTTGTTGTATGTTGTAAGGGAGCCGTTCGGCCGAGCGGACAGCCGAGCGGACAGCACGCGGGACTTGTGATCCTGTGGTCCCGGGTTCGATCCCGGGCGCCGGCGAGAAACAATGGGCAGAGTTTCTTTCACCCTCTGCCCCTGTTACCTAGCAGTAAAATAGGTACCTGGGTGTTAGTCAGCTGTCATGGGCTGCTTCATGGGGGTGGAGGCCTGGTCGAGGACCGGGCCGCGGGGACGGTGAGCCCCGAAATCATCTCAAGATAACCTCTTAATAACCTGGACTCGTGAGATATGTTGGTATATATACTATGGTCCTCATTGTTGCTATAAGTACTACCAAAACAAGAGGATTGGCTGGATAATTGAATGATGATGATGATGATTGGAGCAGTGTAGGAGCTGAGTGAATACTTTCCTTGTAGGCTTTCACTCAGCCAAGAGAGTCTTCCCACCAGCTACAGTAATGGGATCATCCTCCAGCCGCCTCTTCCGACCCTCGTGCCAGCGGCGACGCCAGGTTCACTCCCACTCTCATCCCCCCCTCTCCCCTCTGGGGTGACAGCACTCATCACCCCAGCTTCTCAGGTATGTGTACCTGGGTTGGTCTTCTCCCGTGCAGATTATGCGTGGCATTAGTGCGTTACGTGAGCTCTAAGGTTGGTTAGTGTGTGTTAACCGAGCTGTAAGGGTGGTGTTAGCTGAGCAGTCCGGAGAAAACGGAGGATTTTTCAGCTTTTCAGCATCCTGCTGTCTTTTTTTTTGTTATTAAATTGAGTTTGAGTTGCACTGTTGCTTCATTTGCACTATTTTTAAGCTCTATTATTTCCAGAAGTACACACTTTTTTTAAACATTTAGCCAATTCTGATCAGTTAATGAGTTTGTTTCCTGTTGAATCAGTTTTCATATATATCCCTGTTACTTTGTCAGATTATTCCAAACAATTCATTATTCTTCAAAATTAAGTACAGAAGTTGGGGATCTGTTTAAGTTATTATTTTTTTTCCATGCTGCAGATGCTGTCAACGACACGTCTGACCAGCGGGAGTTTGGTCACTAGCCTATTACCCAGCACCATGCCGCACCTCACCCCCTCCCCTCCTGCCGTCTCTCACTTGACCTACTGCGCTCGTCCTCCCACTCCTTATTCACACGTAATGTTTCATGTGGAGCCACCCACACCACCCACATCTCACCCTCTGTCTCGGAGCGAACACTCGAAGAGTATTGGGAGTGGTCCAGATTCTTCGGTGTCGGTTACACCGTCGCATGTTGACTCCTCAACCTCTCTCGATTTTGACGCACGATTGCCTCCCTCACACTCCTGCACCGGCTCACCTGGTCAGTACACACACGTGCCCCCAACTGTGTCTGCTGTGGTGATACCGACAACTACATTTCAACCAGACACTTCCATCCATCTACCTGATAATGAACCCGTGTTCTCCTCTCCTCAGAGTCATAATGCAATATTCGCCTCTCCTCAAACTTACGCTTCCCCAGTTCACTCTGTGAGCAGTGATGATCCTCTTCTGTACGTATCCGCAAATAATGATAGTCACTTTTTCTCTCCAAATACTACAGCAGCCAGCCAGTCGTCAAATTTCATGAATTCGTCTTTTCATCCTCCGCTTTCCACATATGGCATTCCTCTTGGTAGCACTGATGCTGAAAATGCATGCATGCTTGCGGGCTCTCCCTTAGTCATCACTTCCCTTGCCTCCACTAGTGCTTCAGTTTCTCCCTCGAGTCACTTCATCCCAACTGCCTCTTCCGTTCCAGTTTTATTTAATTCCACACCTGCAAGTAATCAAGCGGCTTGCTCTTTTGCTGCCAGCTATCCACCAAGCCACACAGAAAATGCTTTGTTTACTCATAATGCCTCCAGTTCTTTATCTTTTAACATTTCTTCCATGAGCAACTCCCCTTCATTAGCTATCACCAGTGCATCGCCATCCCTAGCCTATACCAGTGCATCGCCAACCTCGGGCTATGCCAACACTTCGTCAACCCTAGGCTTCACCAATGTGTCGCCAACTCCAGGCTATGCCAGTGTGTCGTCAACCCCAAGCTATGTCAACCTGCTCCCAACCCCAGACTATACCAACACATCACCAACCCCAGGCTACACCAATGCATCACCAATGCCAGGCTATGCCAACACATCATCAACACCAGGCTGTGCCGATGCGTCACCAACCCCAGGCTATGCCAACACGTTGCCAACCCCAACCTACACCAGTGTGTCACCAATCGCAGGCTATGACAACACTTCATTAGTCGCAGGCTTCGTCAGGACGACGCCTGCTCCAGAATTCACCACCACCACCACCTCATCCCCAAGCTCTATTTTCCCACTTTCTGTTCCTTCTTTCCTCAACCCATTTTCTACGGAGGTTGACGTTGAATCAGACACTCGAGCCATAAGTGGAGAAACGCCTGCAACAAACGAGACTTTGCCTGACCAACCCTCTTGCCATGGTCCCAGCTCTTGTGTGGCACAGGTACTGTTTGGTTAACGTTTAGCTGTTTAGTTAACTCTTTAGCTGTTTAGTTGACTTTTTAGTTGTTCAGTTAACTTTTGACTGTTTAGTTAACTTTTAGTTCTTTAATTAACTTTTAGCTTGTACTGTAATATTTTGCTTATTTTCCACCTGTTTTTTTGTTTTGCCTTGTCACCCGTAATTTTAATCACCTGCACGTGTGTTGTGGCTATCACGATCAACACGGCATTTGCATCCGACTACAGTACAAGTAAGTGTTAAGTAGTTTTTAAGTATTACTATTTATTTGATAACAGATAAATGATGATAATAGCTCAACGATTGCAGTTTACGATGCGTTTTAGCGACCGAGGAAAAGGTATGGTAAGGAACTTCCTAACTTCAAAGGGAAGTGCTTGCGATTTATGCTTGGGCTAAATACGTAAAGCAGTAATTCACAGCAAACTATTATAGAGGAGAAATATAAGTTGAATAAGTTTAGATTCAAGAAAAGACTGGTTTGGAAATTGGGTTGTTAATTTACGGAACAAACTACTGGACTGTACTGTACTGTACTGTACTGTACTGGGAAACACTCTAGACGTGGGATCATTGGATTGTTCCAAGTACAGGTTAGACTTATAAATATGTTTGGGTAGATATAAAGAGGAGCTGCTTCCTATGGGCTAACACGGGCTGTCTGCAGTTTCATTTGTTCTCGTGTTCATGAATCCTAGAAGTTTGCTATTCGTTTAGGGCCACACGACCATTTGCCCGACCCAGCCTGACTGGAGAGCGTGGTCCACCAGGCTGTTGCTTGCAGCGGCCCGCAGGCCTACGTATCCACCACAGCTCGGTTGGTCCAGCACTTCTTGAAGAAAACTATCTAGTTTTCTCTTGAATATGTCCATGGTTGTTCTGGCATCATTTGCTTTCCACGAACAACCTAGATTGAATCTAATAATCCGATGTTTTAATTCTTCCATAATCCTTTATAGTAATGTAGAACCTATAAAAGTTTAAATATAAATTGTAAAGAGCACTGTTAGAAGGTAGCAATCAGATGTGTGCGTGTGTGTGTGTAATTACCCAAGTGTAATTAAGTTACAGGATGAGAGCTACGCTCGTGGTGTCCCATCTCCCCAGCACTCTTTGTCATATAACGCTTTGAAACTACTGACGGTCTTGGCCTCCACCACCTTCTCACCTAACTTGTTCCAACCGTCTACCACTCAGTTTGCGAAAGTGAATTTTCTTATATTTCTTCGGCATCTGTGTTTAGCTAGTTTATATCTATGACCTCTTGTTCTTAACGTTCCAGGTCTCAAGAAATCTTCCCTATCGATTTTATCAATTCCTGTTACTATTTTGTATGTAGTGATCATATCACCTCTTATTCTTCTGTCTTCTAATTTTTACATATTTAATGCCTCTAACCTCTCCTCGTAGCTCTTGCCCTTCAGTTCTGGGAGCCACTTAGTAGCATGTCTTTGCACCTTTTCCAGTTTGTTGATGTGCTTCTTAAGATATGGGCACCACACAACCGCTGCATATTCTAGCTTTGGCCTAACAAAAGTCGTGAACAATTTCTTTAGTATTTCGTCATCCATGTATTTAAAAGCAATTCTGAAGTTAGAAAGCGTAGCATAGGCTCCTCGCACAACGTTCTTTATGTGGTCCTCAGGTGATAGTTTTCTATCTAGAACCACCCCTAGATCTCTTTATCAGAATTCTTTAAAGATTTCTCACCTAATTTATAGGTTGTGTGGGGGTCTATGTTTTCTATTCCACATTTCATAACATGGCATTTATTCCAACCCCTACTCTTAAAAATGTCACTTTTGGCTCGTATGCATGCTATGGCCAAATTTGGACATAATTTGAAGAATTGTTTTGCTAAGGCTCTTTTTCTGTTGCATTAGCCTCTGGGGGTCGCGGAGCTTCATTCTCTTTTCCGGCGCAGAGGTTTTTGCTCTTTTTGTCGTGGTCATAGGTATGTTCGTCTCCAGCCGTCTCCCTCTTTTCTGGCGAAGAATGAGACTGCTGCCTTCCGGAGGGGTCCTTGGGTTGTTGATGCTTGGTTGGTCAGGCCGGGGGTTCATCATGTGTTGTGTCCGGTTGCGGCCCTCTGCCGTTATCTGTGCGCCATGGCTTCTGTGTCCAGGGACGCGTTTTGGATTGATCCAGTTTCCCTTCTTCCCTGTTCGCGGGTTCGGGTCTCTCAGGTCGTCCGCAGAGTAATTAAATCCAGCCAGCCTGTGGTCTATTCCCGTGCCCATGACGTTTGTAAGTTTGCTGCTCTTGCTGCAGTCTTTGGCAATATGTCTTGGGCTGACATATGGGCATGGGATTTTTGGCAGTTGAACAGGATCCTGGCTGCACGATTCCTCGTGAACGTTTCTGGGCCCCGTCGGGCTTGTGTTGCTTTGGATCGGCGGTTGCAGCCCGTTGTCTTGACTTCGAGTTGAGAAGTGGAGCACCGACCGCCTCCCGGGTAAGTCCCCTTTTATTCTGTTGCCTCTGGTGAAATAGCTCCGGGGAGCCGTAGGGGCTCCCCCCAGAAAACTAGCATTGAATATAATGAAATGCCATTTTCTGGGTGGGTCCCGGAGGCTCCCCGGCAACCCTCCCTCCTTCCGGTCAGCAGTTTTTTCGCGTTTTTGATATCCAGCCTCAGAACTGAGGTGTGGATCGCCGGCGCGAGGATCTGCGGTTTCCCCTCCCGGGGAAGGGGGAGATGCGCAGACATGCGGCGCGGCTTGTGTGACGTCATGCTTGCTTGCTCGTTTTTCTTTTCGGGAGTTCTGTCCTCTTGTTTGACAATTTTCGTTGTAATAGAGGTTTGTTTTGTGGCGCTCACCTTTCTGGGTGCTTGTCCCAGTCGATGGCAGATATAGAATGCTCCAAATCACATGTGCATTTCGATGGGCAATTGCTCCTCGTGCCTCTGTGAGGGGGGCCAGGTTCTGGCTCATGGTCCCCGGTAGGTCTAGAACTCCACCCACATCGACTGTTGCAAAAGTTAGGGTATCCAGATCAGCCATGGATATCTCCGGGGAGCCTCCAGGACTCACCCAGAAAATGGCATTTCATTATATTCAACGCTGGTTTTTTGCATTTTTTTCCTGTATTGGTCTTCCATCATTTGCTGGCAGAAACCTCCACACCTCAAGAGAGCCGGTAGGACGAAGGTTTCATTCACGTGAAACAGCGAAGAATCAGAAACCCCCACACCTTATGAGAGCCAGTAGGACGTAGGTTTCATTCACTTGAACCAGCGAAGATTCGGAAACCCCCACACCTCATGAGAGCCAGTAGGACGTAGGTTTCATTCACGTGAACCAGCGAAGATTCGAACACAGGCCTCAAAAGCACGAGACCATTGTCATACCAACTAGGTAATGGAGGCTCAAAATAAAGAGAAGGATCTTAGAAAATACATAACTGGTTCCAACTATGTTAGGTACTTGTGATATCCTTCCTTATTACGAGCATCTGGGGTCTGGTCGGCAGGACAACGGTCTTGCACGTTTCAGGACTGTGTTGGAATCTTCGATGGTCCAAGTGAATGAAATGTTATTACCAATACTATTGTGATTTACATCTTAATGATGATGGCTTGAGGAAAGGATTTAAGATGGAAAAGGTTGTTTGAGCATTAGACTCCGGCCTTTGGTTAAATAATAAAAAATGGTTTATAAAGTATAATGGTTTATATCCATGAGCATTGGATGAATATATTTGCGTGTAATGTTCTGCACATCTGCCATAACAACACTTTGTTAGCTCTTAAATTGACGGGAAACTCAAATGGTGACAAATTGCAGATAGTAATTTGAGCAGTGTAAGGGTTATGGTTTTGTCTGAGTTTGACTAACTGCTTTTGTGTGCGTTTCAGGATTCCCCTCTATTGTACCGTCCAGCATCACTACTCTTCAACCAGCCAAGTGAAAGTCAACCTCTACTAGCGGATACTGCAGCTTCCCTGGAACCTCCGGCAGATGCGAACGAAGCCGACAGTACGAGAGAGGCCGGAGGAGACCGACAGTGCAAGCCGCCGACAGTTCTTCCTCTTCTGTTGGCTAACTCGGTCCTCCACCCACCTCCACTTACGCTCCTGCCTCTTGGCACTCAAGTGGTACGTAGTAGAGGGTATTACTCTGGTTTTCTTTGGTCTTTTAGTTGCTGTTGAAACCCCTCCGCCCCCTTTGTCTATATTCTTGGTCCCCTTTCTTTCCTCCTTGCGGAAGCCATCGTTTTAGACCAAAGGATACGAGATAGACTAAGTGTGTTTAAATGGAAGCTTTTGTCGGGACTGGTGTTGGGGGTTCCAGCTGTAGCGTGGCACATGCCCATTCCATTGTGGAGCCAAACAGGGATCACGTCGATGCCCCTGATGTGCAGTACCTAAGTCTTTTCTGTTTAGCTACTTCTGTCCCATTAATACCGCTGGTAGAGATATATATTTTCCCTAATTTGCCCTCAAATACTGCAGTTATTGAAAAGTAAAATACATGATAAATCTAATGGGGTAAATTTGAATGGGGGTTAAAATCTAATGGAGGCAAAGTCTAAGGGGTAAAATTGCACATGGCAAGTGGAGTATTGTTAGAGTTAATAGGTTTTATAACCAATTTGAAAGTGTAAATGGTACATTGTGGCAAGCAGGTGGCAGGAGGAGGTTGGCACACGATGTTATGTCGTGTTGACATAACACGACAGCACCGCTGGTGCTGGCAGGTGGTGTGGCAGGCAGGTTTACCTGCTTGATACCTGCTTGATGGGGTTCAGGGAGTTCTTCTACTCTCCAAGGTTTATTGGAACAGGATGAAAATATGGGACAGCCAACCACCCACCTCTCTAAGAGATTAATGAGGGCCTGATGAGACCAGTTGCCGACCCAATCTACTTGCATGTGCCTACCTGCAGACCTGGCCTGCGAGCATGTGCCTACCTGCAGACCTGGCCTGCGAGCATGTGCCTACCTGCCTGCTGGCCTGTGCCTACCTGCCTGCTGGCCTGTGCCTACCTGCCTGCTGGCCTGTGCCTACCTGCCTGCTGGCCTGTGCCTACCTGCCTGCTGGCCTGTGCCTACCTGCCTGCTGGCCTGTGCCTACCTGCCTGCTGGCCTGTGCCTACCTGCCTGCTGGCCTGTGCCTACCTGCCTGCTGGCCTGTGCCTGCTGGCCTGCTGGCCTGTGCCTACCTGCCTGCTGGCCTGTGCCTGCTGGCCTGTGCCTACCTGCCTGCTGGCCTGTGCCTACCTGCAGACCCGGCCTGCTGGCCTGTGCCTACCTGCAGACCCGGCCTGCCTGCGTGTGACCAAGCTTGCCTCTTCTGGCAAGCATTCCGATGACCACTTCAAACTTAAACAGCAAATCATTTAAAACTATACACAGCATTTGTTTGCACAGTCCTAGAATATGCATGCGAGGCTGGTTCTGTCTTCTCCTCGAGTTTTCACATCTGGTATTTTTAACTCGGGTTTATCATCACTTGTATGGTGTGCAGGTGGCTTCGTTGTTCGTCTCCCACCTGCAAGCTCCGTCTCTGTGGCAGTATGAAGTTTCCTGGCAGTCCTTCAGGTTTTTCCTATCACTACGTAGGTATTCTTCGGTCTCTGATAGGGTTGTTCTGTCCTTTCTCTCTTGGTTGTTTCAGGACCGTCATCTTATGCCTAATACTGTCGCCTCGTATCATGCGGCATTGGCGGAGCCACTTCAGCTTGCTTTCTGTGTTGATGTTACTTCTGCCCCATTTTGCAAGCTGTCTTGTACGTTGTTTTACCTCCGGCCTGCTCATGCGCCGCCTGAGCTGTCCTGGTCCTTGGACCGCGTGCTCTCATTTCTCTCTCCTCCTCGGTTTGTTGTGGCCCCTTCCGTTTGGGATTGTTTTTCTAAGGCCCTTTTCCTTTTGGTATTGGTCTCTGGGGGTCGGGTTGGGGAGCTTCATGCTCTTCTCCAGTGCAGGGGTTTCTGCTCCTTCGGTCCTGGTGACCGTTTTGTTCGCTTGCAACCATCTCCCTCTTTCCTGGCGAAGAATGAGACGGCTGCCTTCCGGAGGTGGCCTTTGGTTGTTGATGCTTGGTTGGTCAGGCCGGGGATGCATCATGTGTTGTGTCCGGTTGTGGCTCTTCTCCGTTATTTGCGCGCCACGGCTTTGGTTGCCGGAGATGCGCTCTGGGTTAACCCGGTTTCCCTTCTTCCCTGTTCTCGGGCTCGGGTCTCTCAGGTTATCCGCAGGGTTATTAAATCTAGCCAGTCTGCGGTCTATCGCCGGGCCCACAACGTTCGTAAGTTTGCTGCCTTGGTTACCGTCTTTGGCAACATGTCTTGGGTGGACATTCGGGCCCAGGGTTTTTGGAGGTCGAACAGGATCCTAGCCGCTTGCTACCTGTTGAATGTTCCTGGGCCTAGGCGGGCCTGCGTTGCATTGGGTCGGCCAGTTGTCTCAACTTCGCGTTGAGTGAGGACAGACCGCCTCCCAGGTAAGTTCCTGTTTTTTCCTTCTCTTTGGGTAGTTAGCTCCGGGTAGCCAACGGGGCTCCCCCCAGAAAACCAGCGTTGAATGCAATGAAACGCCATTTTCTGGGTGAGTGCCGGAGGCTCTTCGGTTTCCCTCCCTCCCTCCCTCCCGGTCGGCGGTGTTTTTTGCGTTTTTGACATCCAGCCTAAGAATTGTATGTTGGGTCACCGGCGGTTAGGTCTGGGGCTGCCCCTTCCCCCTCCTACTGGGGGGGTTGTGCAGACAGCAGCACGGCAACGTGATGACGTCATGCCCGTTAGCAAGTTTTCATTTGGGGAGTTCTGTCCACTTGTTTGGTCTTCGGTCACAATAGTTTTACCAGAATAGGGGTTTGTTTTGGGGTGCTTACCTTTCTGGGTACCTATCCCGGTCGATGGCAGATATAGAATGCTCCCAACAATAAAGGAGGTCTCTATAGGCCATTGATCTTTGTGCCTCTTTAGAGGTGGCCAGGTTCTGCCTCGTGGTCCTCGGGAGGCAAGAACTTCATGCATTGACTGATGCCAGAAAGTTATACATATCCATTCAGCCTGGATAGCTCGGGGAAGCCTCCGGGACTCGCCCAGAAAATGGCGTTTCATTACATTCAACGCTGGTTTTTTAGATTAGCTGGAGAACAGGTGGTACCAGGGAGTAGGAGCCACAGTGTGAAGGCCAAGTTCCACGAACTCCCATTAGCCATTTTTAATGATAATTAGGACTTTCTGATAGTTCTGCAACACTGATGGTGCTAATTGTTGTTCCCAGTTTGATGCCTTCTGTTGATAATTACTTAGAACATCCCTTATGCCTTTGACACTTGTTCCCTAAACACTCCGAAAAGTCCTCAGAAAAGAAAAATTTGGCTCTTTGACAATTTTTCGTAATGTATACGAAGCTATAGTATGGGCTTCCATGCTGTTATAACTTTCTGAGACACGAGGAGGGGGAGGAGGAGGAGGAGGAGGAGGGGGAGGAGGAGGAGGAGGAGGAGGAGGAGGAGGAGGAGGAGGAGGGGGAGGAGGAGGAGGAGGAGGAGGAGGAGGAGGAGGAGGAGGGGGAGGAGGAGGAGGAGGAGGGGAGTAAGTTGACATATGTATATATTTTCACGGTGATGTTTTACTTGCAGAGAGACGAAGGGAAGGAGTAAGTCGGCGTGCATTCAACATTCCTGTCCAAGATTTGCGAGCAAATGCACCAGTTCTTGTGCACCGATTACACTTTTGTAGGTAATAACCGGCTGCGGCACCGAGTCGGCGTAGTCCTCGGGCCCGGGAGAAGCTCGAGCTTGCATCAGGGATACTGTTGAAGAGATGTGCGCGTGAAGAATTTTTTAAAACATTGTTTTTTTGTATTTGCGATCATGACAGTGTTCAATGCTTCTCTGAGAAGTGTATTCCTGCATGAGTTTAATCATGTTAATTTAATGGTGGATGCGTTTATGTTCAAATTTTTAAACATGTTAAGTGCAGTATTTATCAGCCTTACTTAGATGTATTATACACTTTTTGTTTTTAATAGGCCTTATAATGCATATATTTCATATAGCTGTGTTTTATGTTGATGTTGTTCATATCTGTGTTTTAAGGTTAAAAAGAGTAGTATTAGTTTTCTTGAGAATTAGTTTTATTTTTACTTGCTCTTCTTCCTCTCATAGTGCACGAGGTCACGTATAATGCAGGCACCTCTTGTCCTGTACGAGGTCACGTATAATGCAGGCACCTCTTGTCGTGCACGAGGTCGCGTGTAATGCAGGCACCTCTTGTCCTGCACGAGGTCGCGTGTAATGCAGGCACCTCTTGTCGTGCACGAGGTCACGTATAATGCAGGCACCTCTTGTCCTGCACGAGGTCACGTATAATGCAGGCACCTCTTGTCGTGCACGAGGTCGCGTGTAATGCAGGCACCTCTTGTCGTGCACGAGGTCACGTATAATGCAGGCACCTCTTGTCGTGCACGAGGTCACGTATAATGCAGGCACCTCTTGTCGTGCATGAGGTCACGTATAATGCAGGCACCTCTTGTCGTGCACGAGGTCGCATATAATGCAGGCACCTCGTGTCGTGCACGAGGTCACGTATAATGCAGGCACCTCTTGTCGTGCACGAGGTCACGTATAATGCAGGCACCTCTTGTCGTGCACGAGGTCACGTATAATGCAGGCACCTCTTGTCGTGCACGAGGTCGCGTATAATGCAGGCACCTCTTGTCGTGCACGAGGTCGCGTATAATGCAGGCACCTCTTGTCGTGCACGAGGTCACGTATAATGCTGGCACCTCTTGTCGTGCACGAGGTCACTTATAATGCAGGCACCTCTTGTCGTGCACGAGGTCACGTATAATGCAGGCACCTCTTGTCGTGCACGAGGTCGCGTATAATGCAGGCACCTCTTGTCGTGCACGAGGTCACGTATAATGCAGGCACCTCTTGTCGTGCACGAGGTCGCGTATAATGCAGGCACCTCTTGTCGTGCACGAGGTCACGTATAATGCTGGCACCTCTTGTCGTGCACGAGGAGATAAGGTGTATTAATCAAGCACCTCGTGTCTTGCACGAGGAAACGTATAATACAGGTACAGTAACTCTTGATTACCCAAATTACTCTTGTCTGCCGGGTATCACTACACATCAGTAGAGCACACTCGTAATATACACACCCTAAGGCTTAATATAAATACTATCAAATCTGCTGCTTTTTCCAACAAACATTTTTCAAATCCCAGTGTAATGTACAGTCCCCAAATGTAAAGTCAAATGGAGAATGGGAATGATGGAGAGTTTACCGTGTAGTTAAGGAAGGCTCGCAAATAATTCTCTTGAGGAATTATTTAGGCCATAAACTGTTTTCTGTGCCACAGAGCACTCTTAAAATATAAATATATATATATATATAAAGAGATTTAGATTCATGGCTGTTAGTGCTGACCAACATTGGTTAGATGTGCGTGTGTGTAAATAAGAAAGGTTATATTAACTGTGTAGTGCATATATTTATATATAATTAATACGAGCATCGTTAGTGTTGTGTAACTGTCGTGAACTATTGGGTCATCTGTCAACCATATACCTACTCTGGTGTTGGGGGGGGCTGGTGAGACACCCCTTCTGGCATTGGGAGGGATTCCCACCTGTGGTGTTGGCAGGACCATCGTCTCTGGCATTGGTGGGGCCCCCTAATATCGCGGCAGGATCATCCCCCTGGCCTCGATGAGGTCCCGTAGTATCGGCGGTATCATCCCCCCGGCCTCGATGAGGTAAATGGTTGGTGGATAGAATCTTTAATAGTGCATGATAGTTTGTGATGGTCATGTGTTCATGGACAGGGGAGGGGAGGGGGGGGGTTAGCTAATCATACTGATGTCACAACTTTGAAGGGAAATACTGCAACTCGGCACAGTGTGCAATGTAACAAGTTTAGTGCATGTTGCTTTTCAGCGTTGCAACGTTGGAACAAAATATCGTTCAAATGTACCTGTGTGTGTGTGTGTGTGTGTGTGCTGATGAAATGGTACGTCATTGTTGCAGAAATATTGCAGTGATATAGCGAGTATTGGTGAAGCATTGAAACATGCAGTAGTTACCAAGATATATTGGTGAAACATTGGAATATCATTTTGCAGAATTCTTACTAAAAATGTTGCACTAGTGCCACTATGTAATGGAGATTCATTGCTATATCGGCATAGTATTTTGCACGTAACAATGTATATTCATTTTAACACAGGCACACAAACTTCTGTGGAGTTGCGTTACAATATGCCACAGGTTTGATATTGTGCAGGTTTGCTTTACAAACCTGCTGTCGTGTAGTGTGTTTACCTCTTGTTGCCCTCAGGTGTGCGTGCGCATCATATGTTGCCTCATGTACATGGCCGCACTTAACAATGCACTTGTTGTGGGAACAAAGTGGAATTTGAAGTATGGTATTTAAACTCATGCAATCAAGTGGAAATATTAACTAAAGGGGCAGGGAGGGTCAGGTCAGGAAATAAAAACTAGTTAACATTGGTTGCTTTTATATTTCCTTCATATAATTATACATATATATACGTTATCTACAGGACTCCCTTTCTGTTTATGAACATCAGGCTAAATTGAAATTGCAAAAGGCTTAATGGCTTTAGGCCGAGTGTGTAAGTCAGGTCGCCAGGTGATTCGGGTCAACTGGCCGCCAGGTGATTCGAGTTAACTGGCCATCAGGCATGTTGGATTGACTGACCGGTCGGGAGGGAGCCGGTCGGCCGAGCGGACAGCACGCTGGACTTGTGATCCTGTGGTCCCGGGTTCGATCCCGGGCGACGGCGAGAAACAATGGGCAGAGTTTCTTTCACCCTATGCCCCTGTTACTACTCTTCCCAGGATGCAACCCCACAAACATTTTATCCTGGGTACATATTTACTGCTAGGTGGAGCGGGGCAAGTATCACGGGCTGTGGTGAGCCCGTAACTTACCTGGCACAGGAGCGGGGTAAGTATCACGGGCTGTGGTGAGCCCGTAACTTACCTGGCACAGGAGCGGGGCAAGTATCACGGGCTGTGGTGAGCACGTAACTTACCTGGCACAGGAGCAGGACAAGTAGCACGGGCTGTGGTGAGCCCGTAACTTACCTGGCACAGGAGCAGGGCAAGTAGCACGGGCTGTGGTGAGCCCGTAACTTACCTGGCACAGGAGCGGGGCAAGTATCACGGGCTGTGGTGAGCCCGTAACTTACCTGGCACAGGAGCGGGGCAAGTATCACGGGCTGTGGTGAGCCCGTAACTTACCTGGCACAGGAGCGGGGCAAGTATCACGGGCTGTGGTGAGCCCGTAACTTACCTGGCACAGGAGCGGGGCAAGTATCACGGGCTGTGGTGAGCCCGTAACTTACCTGGCACAGGAGCGGGGCAAGTATCACGGGCTGTGGTGAGCCCGTAACTTACCTGGCACAGGAGCGGGGCAAGTAGCACGGGCTGTGGTGAGCCCGTAACTTACCTGGCACAGGAGCGGGGCAAGTAGCACGGGCTGTGGTGAGCCCGTAACTTACCTGGCACAGGAGCGGGGCAAGTAGCACGGGCTGTGGTGAGCCCGTAACTTACCTGGCACAGGAGCGGGGCAAGTAGCACCACCCGTAACTTACCTGGCACAGGAGCGGGGCAATTAAGTAGCACGGGCTCAGGCCCGGCAGCGTGGTGCCGGAGACACCCTTCACCTCTCCCTTGAGGGAGAGGTGAAGGGTGTCCGCTCCTGCACGCGCTACACACATGAACCTGTACACCAGTTGATTAACAGTTGAGAAGCGGGACCAAAGAGCCAGAGCTCAACCCCCGCAAGCACAACTAGGTGAATCACACGCTGCCAGACCCGTGCCTCTAGGTTACAAGCGTTCACCATTATTAATATAGTTACCCCGTAGAATATAGATATACATTCAGAATATACAAAAGTTACCCGTTTCATCTGAAAATAAATCGGAAATGAAACGCTAAGGAAGCTTTATAATAAAAATATTAATTACTGAGAATCTTTAAACTTATTTCTAATAATTAACATACTATTAATAAGTAAATATGAAATGACAAAGAAATAATGTAAAGCATTTAAAACATGTTTGTTAAAATACTTTTATTTTTATATAAAAAGTTCATTACTATAAACATTTTAAAACATTTGTCTCGTGGCAAAATTTGTCCAACTAGTGAGGTGATATAATCAGTTTCAAGATTAATATAAGTTTAACACACATATATATACACAGGTTTTCCTACAACGGGAATTACATAAATATATATCGGGAGCAAACGAAATTAAAACGTAGAAATCTAAACTATTGACTTGGACAAACCGGAAAACTATTGAGTTGGACAAACCGGAAAACTATTTTTTACTTTGTGTTAATTTGACAAACTAAACCAGCTATCCTATTAACCTCCCTAGGCCTGATACATGATATCTGAGGCCTAATATAGTACATATGTGTGCTATATTAGGTCTAGGAATATTTACGTTGTGTTTTAGCTTCATTTGTTTTAAAAGAATTCCTTACTAGTCAATATACTACTATCTAAGTTAGTTTAAGTTTAGTTCATTTATTATGCACCCCATACCCATCTTGTGGGCGGTGGTGGAAAGGGTTACAGAGGCACATAATGGGCTCAGGGACTGAACCCCACAATTCATTTAGCTAAGCAAGTTACAATCTTGATGAACTAGTTACAAAATTCAATATAAGTCGTCACATCAACAATGGGTTCGAGATCGACCTCAAGTACAGGTTCTAAATTAAGCAACTGACATATGTGGAGAGCTAGTGTCAAAATTGATATGTTTGTCCTGCACACCGACCCCCATCCAATGGGCAGCGGTGGATAGGTTACACCGCCCTCCATCCAGTGGGCAGCGGTGGATAGGTTACAATCACTTAGTTACTACCTACAGTTAGCAAACTGGGGATATTTGGCTAAAATTTCTGGTAGCAGATCATTTTGAATGAAATATTTACACATCGCTGGAACATTGGTTATAGAATTGTCTCTAAATTCACGTATCTTTTCGCACTCCATCACATAGTGACGGAGGGTGTGCGAATAATTTTGTTGACACAGTTTACATTTGGTCAGGTCTACATCAGCAGAAAATGAGAATTCCCAGAGATACTTGTAACCGAGTCTAAGCCGAGCAGTAGTAACATCTAGAAGTCTGCTGATTTTATTGGATGAACCATAGATGTGTGGCTCCTCTTGCATGATAGTATGATGATAGATGGAATTATTGGTGTCAATTTCACTTTGCCTCAGATCTACAAGATCTTGTTGAAGTTCTCGGTGTACTGCTGCTCTCAGATTGCTCATTGACAATCCAAGGTTACACTCAACGGCTCCTTTAAAGGCAGATTCTTTGGCTAACTTATCAGCTCTATCATGCATTCGGAGGCCAACATGAGATGGAGACCACATGAAATGGACTCTGTTACCATCCTTAATAATTTTGTTGTATTTGTGTCTAGCTTCGGACACGAGCATGTTACAGTTATGTCTTAAAGAGTTGAGAGCATTTAAGGATGATAAGGAGTCACTTACAATTAATGTATCAAGTTTGGAGACTTGTACACATTTCAGTGCAAGGATCAAGGCAAATAGTTCAGTCTGAAGGGTAGAGGCCCAGTTGTTTATACGGACTCCCCACTCAAAGTACAAGCCATCGCCCATTGTCAGAACAACTGCACTTCCAGCTGCACCCGTGGTGCGGTGTAGGGAACCATCAGTGTATATGATTTGAGAGAGAGAATGCTCTGTGGACAGAGCATCAATATGGCTTAAGGCGTTGAGCTTTGCCCCAAGACGAAGCTTGGGCTGATCTCTAATTTGCTTCTTGGGTGGAAAGGGAGGGATTAAAACTGGAAAGGGTGTAACCTCCCACGGTGCAGGAAAGTGCCGTTGTTGTTTCTCTTGGTACAAATCATGAACCCCATACATTCTGAGTTGAGTTCCAGTTTTTGTTATCCATTTGGAACAATGCTGATCTTCAATGAAGAAATTCTGGAGGGCTTCTGTGCAAGGGTTAGGATGAGTTAGCCTAAGCATTTTAATACCAATTTGACAGTTAATTTCAGTAACACGATCAACAACGCTCAGAATATTAAGTTCCTTTCTCATATTAAGTATCTTTGTGGTACGAGGGCACCCAAGGATTATCCTCAAGGCTTCGTTCTGCAATTTTTCAAGCCCTCCAAGCTTTCTTCCAGGCATCAAAACAAGCAGAGGTGCAGCATAATCCACTAAAGATCTGATGTATGCAAGGTACATCATTTTGACAATTCTGACATTGGCACCATAGCTTGAGTGATAACCTGCAACAGCCTTGAGAGCTCGGAGCCTCTCTTTATACTGACGACAGAGTCTGAATACAACAGGACCATACAGTGGCACCTCAAGGCCAAGGTATTTGAATCTGTTTACATAGTCAAGCTGGGAGCCATCAGACAGTTGCATCTTGCGAACAGCTCCTCCCTGCCTGGGTGGGCGCCGATTGTGTATCTTTGTTTTCTCTGCTGAGATAATTAAACCTAGGTCCTGACATGAGTCTAATACAGAGTTAAGAGTGTTCTGCGTGTTAGCATACCCAGCGGTGTGTATCATTATATCATCAGCATAGCTAATGATGTGGACGTTGGGTTTGCACGGTATAGAGTTTAACAGCGTGTTTATTAAGATATTGAATAAGGTAGGACTGAGGACACCACCCTGCGGGGTGCCTAGTTCAAAGTCTCTTGTTACACTTCTATGCCCCTGGAAAAATACAGATGACTTCCTGTTGGATAAGTAACCCCTGATCCAACAAAGAAGCCGACCACCAATATTCATTCTTGCAAGCTCACTCAAGATAACATGTCTATTTGCAATATCAAAGGCAGACTTAAGATCTAGGAAGGTGGTATATGACTTTTCAGTGTGCAGGGTAAGAAAGGTGGTGATGCAATGATGCACACTCCTTCCATGCATGAAGCCATATATCTGGGGGGATAGCATGGTTCTTATTCTATGGAGGAGACGGTTTAGGACCATTCTCTCGAATGTTTTGCAAATGCAGCTAGTAAGGGAAATTGGGCGGAAAGCATTCTCTTGATTTGGCTTGGGAATTGGAATGATTATACTGTTGGTCCAAGAGATAGGAAGTTCCCCAGTAACATAGCTCATATTATACAGCTCAAGCAGGGGATCCCCTGGTACTAAAGGGAGCAGACGCAATATGTCATAAGTGATACCATCTTCACCGGGGGATGTGGCTTTGCCTTTGTTTAGGGCCGCGAGTAATTCAAACTCAGTAAATGGCACGTTGCATTCATCTTCCTTGTGGAGCATGAAGTCAACGAGCCTTTCTCGATCTCCATAACCAGCATTTAATCTGAACCGTGTGTCTGGGGGAAGATTGTTGAAGCTAGAGGTGGTTGCCCAAGCATCGACTAACTCGTTTGCTCTGTGTAGAGGGTGAGGGTGTGCTACTTGGCCGATCTTATCGTCTTTAATTCTT